TGCTGTGCTGGACACAATTTCTATCTGTCTCATAAAATAATGAGATTACAGAGCAGTTTAATGGCAGGACAAGGTGGGCTGAGGCTGATATTAATGGGCAATATGAAGGTTTGGATAAATGATGGAGGAACAGGTTGGGGTTTCATGGGTTGGATGATTTACTCCCAGACTGGGATGTTCCCCACAGGATAAAGGAACAGTCTCTGCCAAAAAAGACAACAGCCAAATTGGCATTTCTCTTCCTGAGGGCCTTGGGTTTCCAGGAAAAACCCAAAATATTCCAGTGTGGTTTAAGTGGCACCAGAAGCCCCATGGACACTCGGCCCTCACAGGAGCTGGAATTTTTTTCCTTCTGGAATTGAACCTGGCTGCTCCTCACCTTGCTGCCCACCCTGTTCCTCACCTTGATGCCCACCCTGCTCCTCCTGGCAGGGACAGGTGGCTCTGGGGACAGTGGCACTCAGGAGCTGGAATAATTCCTTCTGGAATTAACCTCACCTTGATGCCCACCCTGCTCTGGGCACAGTGGCACTTGGAGCTGGAATTTTTTCCTTCTGGAATTGTACCTGGCTGCTCCTCACCCTGTTCCTCCTGACAGGGACAGTGGCACTTGGAGCTGGAATTTTTTCCTTCTGGAATTGAACCTGGCTGCTCCTCCTGGCAGGGACAGGTGGCTCTGGGCACAGTGGCACTCAGAGCTGGAATTTTTTCCTTCTGGAATTAAACCAGGCTGCTCCTCACCTTGCTGCCCACCCTGGCTCTGGGCACAATGGCACTTGGAGCTGGAATTTTTTCCTTCTGGAATTGCATCTGGTTGCTCCTCACCTTGCTGCCCACCCTGGCTCTGGGGACAGTGGCACTTGGAGCTGGAATATTTTCCTTCTGGAATTGAACCTCACCTTGCTGCCCACCCTGCTCTGGGCACAGTGGCACTTGGAGCTGGAATTTTTTTCCTTCTGGAATTGAACCTGGCTGCTCCTCACCCTGTTCCTCCTGACAGGGACAGTGGCACTCAGGAGCTGGAATAATTCCTTCTGGAATTAACCAGAATAATAATTAATAATTAATAATTAATAATTAATAATTAATAATTCTGGAATTAACCTCACCTTGCTGCCCACCCTGCTCTGGGCACAGTGGCACTCGGGTGCCACAATCCTCAGCTTCTGTTTCCACCATTTCCTCCCTCTTGCCTTGGGAAATAAAAGCAAAGGGCAGAGAAAAGAGTCAGGGTTTCCTTCTCTCTTCCTTGAATAGAAACTGAAGGGGAAAGGCTCGAGTGTGTGGCGTGAGACTCCTGGGATTATGGAAAACAATGTGGGAATACAGCAGGTTTTAGGAGAAAGAAAATAACATCACTGCAGCTCAGCAAAACAAAGGTTTCAGGGTAAACCCAGCGTAGCTGGGAGGCCCGAACAACCTCCAAGATCATCAAGTCCATTTGAAGGTTTGATTTACGATTTTTGGATGTCTTTTCCAGCCTTAACAATTTAATTTTGTGCACAGTAATAAGGCCCAGCACACAAGTGAAAAGCTCTGGAAGTGCAGGCAGCAGTTGAGCAGCCCTGGCTCTGCAAAGCTTCCTCCCCTGCCCCTTCCCTTGGCTGCATCCTGCTCCCAGTGCAGGAAACTGGGACCTGACCTGTGCTGGGTGCCAGAGAGGAAAACACTCGAGCACCACGGGTCAACAAATCAGAGCTGTGGCACCAGCAGCTCCAAGAATTTAAATTACTTGTCTCCAGACTGGAGAAAAAAAAAAATAAAAATGCTTAGCTTTGGGGAAGAGAACGGAATCGAGAAGTGAGGGGATTAGATAAACTTCCACTTTATCAAATTCCTAAATTCAAAGTTAATTAAAGGTCAAACAGCATAAAAGATGGTTAAAAAAAAAAAACAACAGAAACCTCTCTGTGAGAAGGAGTTATCAGAGCCTCAGCATGGGGACAGGAAACATTTGAGACGGTTTCACTGTGAACTATTTATCCAGGTTTGTATGTTACAGTCAACCCATTTCTGCAACAGTTTTTATTTATTAAAACAGTTTTTATTTATTTTTAATATTTTTATTTATTTTTAAAGTAAATTATTTAAGTTTATTATTTATTTTTTAAATATTGTTTGTTTCTAAATTATTATTTATTTAGATATTATTTATTTTTAAATAACTGTTAAAGCACATCAAGGGCCGCACATGGCAACATCAGGCATGGTGATTCATTAAAATTTAATAAGAATTTGGTTATTTCTATTGGTATCCATGAGCGTTTCTTTAATTAAGTTTGAACTGGGATTAAATCAATAAATCACCCAAAAAGCACTCACTGCAAGGGGATATTGACTGAAATGAGATAAACAAACCTTCTCAGCCCCAAAAACAATGTTTCTTCCTGCAATTGACCATAGTAGCTCCTATTCAATGTAAGAATGGGGCAGGAAATTACCTAAATGGGCGCAAGCTCAGTGCAGAGAACCCACAATTCCCCTTTAAAAGGGAAAAAAAGAGATCCTGTTCCTCAAGATCAACAGATTATAGGCACACAGAGGGAAGTTCACCTCAAGTTCTTCTCATTTAACCCTTGCAATCTGGTTTTTCTCTCTTCTTTCACCTGATTTAGCAAAGTTTATCAGGTTTGTTTCATAGAATATTTGGGCTGGCAGGCGAAAACAGCCCAAGCCTGGAGTTTTCAGCACCTGATTCCCCTTTAGCCCAGCCAAGGATCCTTGTTCCCATGTAAAAACAGGAGAGAGACGAGAAAAGTCTTTATGTGGAAGTGTTCAATGACACGGTTTTGTTACAATTAAAGTGGTTGCTGATGCCATCTCGTGGGAAATGCAAAATTCACCTCTCCGAGCAGCAGGCAGGGCTGTTCCTGAGCCCTTTCTGGGTGGGAATGTCAGCATCTGGGATTTCAAAAGCACTCCCTGATTACTGAGCAAACATTCACCCAGGTGAACAGTCCCGCCTGACCAAGGAATTACTCACATGCAGAAGCGTTTGCAGGATGAGGCAAAAAAAGCTTCCCAAAACTTTTCAGCAGCCTCGAGACTGCAGAGAAACAGCAGTTTGGGTTTCCCCAAATGCACAAAATTGACTTGATGAGTTATTAGAAAAATTTGGGTTACTCAAAAATAATTTGCATTTAGAACCGAGTCAAATGGGTTTTCCCAGTCAAAATAAGGGCCAAGGAACAACGGGAAACCTCTTTATTTCCATCTAATATGGGATACAATAAATAAGAATACATAGAGTAAATAGAATAAATAAGGAGCAACCTACACATCTCTTAGACCTGCTTATCCAGGAATTTCCTTACTCAGTGTTTACCCAAAGCAAAACACTCAACGCTGGCGGTAAAGAGCAAAGCAAACTGTTCCGCTCTGGATTTGGCACAGGCAGGAGGAATTCTCATTATTCCTCTGTTGCAATCAGCCCAAATCCATTTTCTCCAGACCTGGAGCAGCCCCCGGCCAAGTCCACGAGTAGCCACTCACACTGGAACCACCTTTATTTACACCAGGAGCAGGATCCTCCTCCCTTATCTCGCCTGGTGAAAACATTCAGGGGCAGGAAGCAGCACTTGGGCGTGTTTGGCCGCATTTCAGCACTTTTACTTTCCTAAATACCCATCTGCCCTCTACTGGAGAGCGATCTTAGGGGTTTTATCCCCAAGGTTTTCACACTCGAGGTCCTTTAAGACATTACCTGAGGTGGTTTTGGGGTTTGCTGAAGGGAAGAGATTGAGAATTTGCCCTGCTGTAAGAATGAAGGGCGAGATGAGGTGTTTGTGATAGGATTTGTTCTCTGGGGGTCCCCCCTCCTCAAGACCCCCAAGATCGCCCCTCTCAGACGCTCATCCATCCCCTCCCCTCACTGGGAGCCCTCTGAACCCCTCACGGGTGTCCCCAAAGCTCCTCATGGGGGTCCCCGATCCTCAGACCCCCAAGATCGCCCCTCTCAGAGGCTCCTCCCTCAATGGGAGTCCTTTGAACCCCTCATGGGTGTCCCCCCATCCTCAGACCCTCAAGATCTCAGCCCTTCCCTTCACGGGGGTCCCCAAAGCCCCTTATGGGAGTCCTCCATCCTCAGACCCCAAGATCGCAGCCCTTCCCCTCACGGGGATCCCCCCTCAGCGGCCCCGGCCCCGCTGACGGCGCTCGGCCCCGCCCGTGCCCGCGCCTGCCCCGCCCCTCCCGCCGCGGCCTCACAAAATGGCGGCCCCGGCAGCGAGCCCGTGAGGCGGCGGAAGGATAAAGGACATGAGACAAAAAAGTCCCCCGAGGCGGCGCAGAAAAATCGGGCTGGGCCCGCACTGGCTCCGCCGCAGCGGGAACTGTGTGGAATTCGGGGATTTCTCCTTCTTTTCTCCGTGGTCCTCCCCGCTCTGGGGCCGTCGGGAGAGGCCTGGCAGGGGAGGGGTTTCCTCTGGCGGAAGGATATCAATCAGTAGGGCTGGAGGATAGTGATGGGTTCCTGGATTTAGGTCCGGCCGAGGCGTTTTTGCGCCAAGTATAAAATGGCGGCGGCGCCTCACGGAGGTCGCGTGGTTTAGATGTGCTTTGCAACTTTGCTAAATGGGATTTGTAAATATATCTGCATTTATAGATGTGTATTTCAGTAGTTTGAGTATATCTGTCCCCTCTAAGCGCCTTCCAGTCACGGACTTAGCTCCCCTCAGACTGCCAACCCCCCCTCTCCAAGGAGTTAACCCTTGTCAGTGTTACCCCTGACTTGCCCAAAATGTCCTTTTTTTGAGCTAAAATTGGAGGTCTGAGGGCCTATTTCTTCTCTGGAGTGTTTTCCTGTGGGGCTTGGAAAAGCTGAAGTGTAAATAATAGCCTTAATGTGCTTATAATAATCTTTTAGGCTTAGTTTTTCCATGCTTAAGTCTTCTACAGCATTTGCAAAGACATAGGGGGAAGTTCCCAGCTCACTGTAAAGAGATTTGAGACATTTTAATGCCAAAAAACTTGATGTCAGTCTGCATGTCCACAGGAATGTGTATGTTTTGAACTGATTTTATTTAAACTTTCATAATAAATACTTCTCCTGCAGGTTTTCCTAGCTGGGAACACAGAAGTCAAACAGCTCTGCAGAGGAGAGTTTACATTTTTCATCTCTGGTTTTACACAGATGGTTCAAAATCAGCACACTTGATTATTTCTGCAGATTACAGGAGAGCTGCATCCAATTTTCATAGTAGAATGCAGATTTTTTTTTTTCCTTTTTTTTTTTGCCTATTTCTGGCACTTTTTAAAGTGCTGCCTCAGCCTGCCCCCAGCCACATACCCCCCAACTCTCAGGATGATTTTGGGATGCTCCACATCACTTCATCCCAATCAAACCCAAATAAAGCACATTCAAGGAGACAAATCAATCCCAGAAAACAATATTGGTGGGAAAAAAAAAAAAAAAAAGACAAACCCCAACTGTTTAAAAGCCAAAAATCATTCCAGGTTGGGTTTTTTCCTCCTGTTTTGAGATGATGCTCAGAAATAAAGCTCAGCAGGTGAAAATCTCCCCAGAGAAAACTCAAGGTTTCCACTTGAATGAATGCAGCATTGTTTGTTGTTGGTTTTAAAGGGATTAAGTGGGTGGAAAACCTGAAATATTTTCATTTGGGGTAAGATCCACCTTTCATCACCCTTCCACACCCCACAATGTACCCGGTGTCTGTCCCAGCACTGGGAATAAACCACGTGGGGCACAAAAAAAGGATGAAAAAATCAAATTTGGGGGCAATAATCACCCAGCCTTGACCCCACTAAGCAAAGTCAGAGCATTTCCATATCTATTTACCCTCCTGGACATATTTTTTTCTGCTTGGGCTTACACCACAAGGCTCAAAGTGGTTCTTTTTCTCAAGAAGAAGGTTTGTGCTGATATCTTGGGCACATCCCTGCCTCTTCCACCTTGCATTCCCGAGAGGAAGGTGAAGGGACGAAGAGGAATTTTGAGAAATTGGGCCAGGGGAGCGCAGAGGGTCAAAGCTTTCTGCAGAACGAGGGCGATTCCCATTGCTCCTCGTTTGCACAAACGAGTTTCTTAAAAAAGCACTTGAGAAATGAGCTGAGAAATTGTCACACGGGGGTGGCACCTCCCAAACCCTCCGGGAATTGAGGGGGGCTCTTTCTGCCCCTTCCCCTCGTGTTTGCCCCTAGTGCTGCTGTGATTCCAGGAGGAAAAGGGAGAGAGGGGAGTTGGAGATTTTTGGGGAGCCCATCACCATCAAGGCCACGGTGAGCTGCTGAGCGCATGAAGAATGGCAAAACCACCCAGAAACAAAACAAAACAAAAAGAAAAATCGAACCTAACAACCTCCAAAGTGACACCAAAACCAAATCCTGGCAGAAAGAGAGAGAGCAGGGGCGGGGGGGGGGTGAGGACTAACAGGGAGGGCTTCAAATTAAATCGAAATCTAAGGAGCTGATGCTGGCAATGGGAGCTCGCCAGAAATTGAAGCTGTTGAACTGCAGCAGACTGTCCTCTTCCTGGGAGAGCTCCTGGCTGCCTCGGTGGTCACCAAGCTTGCCCAGGCCTCCCTTGGGCTTGTAGAGGGCCATGTCTGCCAGCCCCAGCCCCTCCAGCTCGGCCATGTCCAGCCGTGGGATCGGCATCCTCCAGTAGATGAAGGAGTCGTACTGGCTGCTGATGGTGTCCAGCATTTTCAGGCTGTGGAGGGCACGAGGGGAAAGAAAAGGAAGAGAAAAGCTCTACTAAAAACACAGGAGTTGGCCCAAAGTGGGGAGAAATTTCAGGTGTTGGCGTGTGGAGCCTGTGCTGTAGGATAATCCCTTTAAAAAGGGAGATCCTTCTTAGGATAACCCCTTAAAAAGAGGGTATTATTTTTAGGATAATCCCCTAAAAAGGGGATATCCTTTTTAGGATAACCCTCTAAAAAGGGGATAGCCTTTTTAGGATAATCCCCAAAATTTATTAGGATAACCCCCTAAAAAGGAGATATCATTCTTAGGATAACCCCATAAAAAAGAGATATCCTTTTTAGGTTAGTCCCTTAAAAAGGGGATATCTTTTTTAGGATAATCTCCCAAAAAGGGGGCTATCGTTTTTAGGATAATCCCATAAAAACTTTTTAGGATAACCCCCTAAAAAGGGGATATCTTTTTTATGATAATCCCCAAAACTTTTTAGGATAACCCCCTGAAAAGGGGATATCCATTTTAGGTCAGTCCCTTAAAAAGGGGATATCTTTTTTAGGATAATCCCCTAAGAAAGGGATATAGTTTTTAGGATAACCCCCTAAAAGGGAATATCTTTTTCAGGATAATCCCCTAAAAAGGAGTCGATGGTGGAGGAGAGCCTGGGGTTGTGCAGGTTTCACTCTAGGCTGGATCTAACTGCAGGCTCGAGCTCTGCCAGAGTTTTATCCACACCCATCTCTGCACCGTAATTCAGGGGGGGATCCGAGGGATTTGTCCCTCCGTGCCTCAGTTTCCCCAAACAAACAGCATGGGAGGGTTGGGATTAACCCCTTCATTAACCCCTTCCCACCTGCTCCTCCTGAAATCCCTCCTGCCAGCTCTGGGGAGCAGAGGTGGGAGAGCAGCACCTAAATAAACTCTCTTTTTTTCCCACTCCTGCCCACCTTTCCCTGTGCTGAATCCCCATGGAATGGGCAGTGAGGGGGGTGGGGGGGTCCCTGTGCATCCCCCTCCACCCTAATCCCACCCTAATCCCACCCCATCCCTCCCTCCCCTGACCGAACCCTCTAGAAAGGGCTGGAAGGAGCCTCGCCCGGGCATTCCCACCACCACCACCACACCCCACCCATCCCATCCCTGCCGTGCCATCCGTCCGTCCATCCATCCGTCCATCCATCCATCCATCCATCCGTCCATCCATCCATCCATCCATCCGTCCATCCCCGCTGCAGAATTCCCCCTGCAGCCCCACCCCGATCCGCCAAAAAATTGGGAAGGAGCAGGACCAGGCGTGGATCAGCTTCTTCTCGGTGGAGCTGAGTCACTGCCTGGCTTCTCCCCGCCAGGGTTGTGTCATTCACCTCCTCGATTGGCGCCGGAGGTGGGGAAAAAAGAAAGCAGACTAACCCAAAACATCCTCATTTTCCTGCTGATTCCCTGCCTTAAAATCAGAATTCTCAAGGATGATTCAGGCGGATTTTGGAGCGGTGCGATCAGCTGCTAAATTTAAGGTTCTGGATGTCGCTCAGAGGCTATGAAAGGCTCCTGTGTCACCCCCTCCGGGTAAACTGAGCCACAGGACTTTAAAATAGTCTCTTCCCTGGGAATTTATCCCTGGGGGGGTCCATCCCTAGGGATCTATCAGTGAGTTTTTTGCAGCAAAACGACAGAGAATTATTAATGGTGGTGGGTGTTGTGGAGATGGATTTTTAAGCTCCAAATAGTGAAAAATTGGAGTTTAGTGACAAGAGAGGGGGAAAGACAGCTTAGTGACAAGCAAATAATTAAATATCCAGTAAAAGGGAGTGAATGTGGAAGGAAAACCCCTCTTGTGTGGCGTGTCACCCCTAAAAAAGATCATTTCCCGCGGGCTCTGCTCATCCCATGGAACCAAAAACCACCTTTCTCCACTTAAATCCCCGCTGGCTGTGGCTCATTTCTCCCCTCAAAAAAGAAACTCCGACCTCTCCCTCCACCCAAATCCTCGGCGGAATGAAAAGCGTTCTCTCGCCGAGCATCCTCGCATCCCTTACCTGCGGAGGGCGGGCGGTGCCGGGAGCGCTGGGCTCGGAGCCGGGCCGGGCTCTTTGTGCCGGGGAGCCGCGGGCGGAGGGAGCAGCGTCGCTTTTGTCTGCCGGGTCTGTCTGCAATGCAGCCCCTCGGATTGCCCTTCCTCGTGGGGGGAGGATGGTGGTGATGATGATGATGATGATGATGGCAGATGAGTCAGCGGCTCCCACCCGCGCCAGGCAGGGAGGGGGAGGACGGCAGGGGCGGAGATGCTGCGTGCTGGACCCCCAGGCTGAGGATGGATTAAACCTGGTTCACTCCCGGAGCCTTCAGCTGCGTGTTGGGGGAAATAATTTTCAGCCTGCAAGGAGCTGGGGGATATTTCTTTCACCTGCGTGTGAAGATATGGGGGGCCGTGGTACCCCCAGACTTTGGGAGGACGCTGTGCAGGTCAAACATGGAGAAATTTGGCTCAAAGAAACTCCCCAAAAATATATTTTATTTTATTTTATTTTATTTTATTTTATTTTATTTTATTTTATTTTATTTTATTTTATTTTATTTTATTTTACTTTATTTCATTTATTTTATTTTATTTTATTTATTTTATTTTATTTTATTTTATTTATTTTATTTTATTTTATTTCATTTCATTTATTTTATTTCATTTCATTTCATTTCATTTCATTTCATTTATTTTATTTCATTTCATTTCATTTCATTTCATTTATTTCATTTATTTTATTTTATTTTATTTTATTTTATTTTATTTTATTTTATTTTATTTTATTTTATTTTATTTTATTTTATTTTTCAATCTGAGACTGAGGGCATTTGATCCTAAAGCCACACAGCAAAAATATCCCATCTTTGTGGCCCAAGCCAGAACGTGGAACTAGAAATAGAGGGAGACACCCAAAACTGGCATCAATCACTGCCAGGGCTGAGGGGGGGCTTCACCCGGGGTGGGGGCACCTCACACCTCCCTTCACCCCACAGCTGACAACAAAGAAAACCCCAATGCAACCCCTCAGACCAGGCAATCTCCCTGTCCCAGCACCTCTGAGACCCCAAACTCCCTTTTTTGGGGGGCACAGGCCACATCCGTGCACCTGAGAGGCTCAGAGCAGCCCTTGCCTTCCTCTCCCTGGGCTTTGCCTGAGATCAACATTCTTTTGGTGCTTTAGGGTTTGGGTTTTTTTTCTCTTTTCCTCCCTGTTCCCTGCGTGCAGCTCATTTCTGATGGTGCCAAGCTGTTCTGCCAGTGCTCGGCTTTCAGCCAGACTATTTCTTCCTCCTCCTCCTCCTCCTCTCAGCACTGTCATGGGCAAAGAGGATCCTGCTCCAAAATAGACCCTTGGTCTCAGCTGGGCCTTTGCAGCACTCGGCACAGGGAAAATTCCAGCTGGGAGCCCTTTGGAGGATGCTGATCCCTCCAAGGGGTTGAGCTGCTGTGGTTTTGGGGGTCCCCCAGGCCATGGGGTGCAGTTTGGCTGAGCTACCTCATAAAAACCTTGATGTCAGCCATCTCCTTGCTCTTTGGGGTGTCACCTGCTCATGTGATTGTGGTGTCCCTCTCTGAGAAGGGACCTGGGGCTGAACCCCAAGGGCACGTAGCAATGAGGGCACTGCTCTGGGTTTTGGGAGGGCTGCAAGGGGGACAGTGTTCTCTGGCAGCACAAACACCAAACAAAAAATGAAATGAGGTCACAAACACTTGGGGTATTATCAGCCAGGGCCACCCAATGGCTGGGGACAGGCGTGGGACAGAGACCCGAGTGAGTGGGGACAGTGCTGCCTTGTTCGGGATTTCTGGAGTGGGAGCAGTGGGGATGGCTGGGATTTGGGGGCTGACACAGCAAGGGACGCTCTGAGGCTCACACAGGGGCGTCTCCTGTGTGGTGGCAGTGGCAGGACTGGGGTGGTGGCAGTGGCAGGACAGTGGTGGCAGTGCCAGGACTGTGGTGACAGTGGCAGGACTGTGGTGGGTACAGTGACAGGACTGCAGTGGTGGCAGTGGCAGGACAGTGGTGGTAGTGACAGGACTGTGGTGGGTACAGTGACAGGACTGCAGTGGTGGCAGTGACAGGACTGCAGTGGTGGCAGTGACAGGACTGTGGTGGGTACAGTGACAGGACTGCAGTGGTGGCAGTGACAGGACTGTGGTGGGTACAGTGACAGGACTGCAGTGGTGGCAGTGACAGGACTGTGGTGGGTACAGTGACAGGACTGCAGTGGTGGCAGTGACAGGACTGTGGTGGTGGCAGTGACAGGACTTTCGTGGTGACAGTGTCAGGACTGTGGTGGCAGCAGCAGCCCCTCAGATGTTGTGCAAGCGGAAGGGCACCGAGCTGGAAATGGTGACACCACTCAGCACCAGCTGCAGGGCGTTCCCACGCCTTCGGGTGCCCCGGGGGCTCTGGAGTACCCATGGAAAAAGCGGGGATAAGGCTCGGGGGCACATGGGAGCACAACTGGCACTTGCTGGGGACACCCCCAGCCCTACCTGGTCCCCTGGCATTCTCCCAGTGCTCCTGGAAGCCCCAAGGCCTTCCACCCCCAGCTGGGGACCCCCAGCCTTAAAGGACCTCAAGAACCCCCAAGTTGCTCCTTCTGGGACTCTGAGCCCCCCATTCCTAGTGGGACTCGGGCCCCCCATTCCTCCCGGGCCCCCCGTTCCTCCCGGGCCCCCCGTTCCTCCGGGCCCGCAGTGCCGGCGGTTCCCGGGGAGGGCGCTGTGCGGGGCCGGGCCGGGCAGAGCCGCGCCGGGCGGCGGGAGCTGCGCCGCGTCCGCACCGGGCCACGCCTGGGGCTGCGAGCGGGGCACCGGCACCGGCACCTCCCGGCCACGCCTGGGGCTGCGAGCGGGGCACCGGCACCGGAACCCGCACCGGGACCGGGACCCCCGAGCCACGCCTGGGCTGCGAGCGGGGCACCGGCACCGGGACCGGGGCTCGCTCAGGGATCGGGACTTGCACTCCCGGGCCACGCTTGGGGCCGCTGCGAGCCGGACACCGGCAGCGGGACCGGGACTTCCGAGCCACGCGTGGGGCTGCGAGCCGGACACCGGCCCCGGGAGCCGCTCCCGCGCCGGGACAGGTAATGGGGCCGCCACCGGGACGGGAACCGGCCGGGACGGGAACCCTTCCGACCCCGCGGAAGGGCCCCCGGAACAGCCGTAGGAAGGCGGAGAGGGCACCGGGATCGGTACCGGAACGGGAGCGGGGCGGCGGGACGAGCCCCCTTGCAGCTCGCTGGTTCACCCGGGGAGCCCTCCCGGGATCCACCGGATCTCCCCAGCCCCACCGGGACCACCGGGGTCCCAAGGCCTGCCGGGTCCCACCAACCCTACCGGGACCCCCGGGTCCCAAACCCTGCCGGGACCCCCGAAGTGCCGGAGCCCCGCGGAGCTGCCGCTGCCCCGGGGGTCGCAGCCGGGACCGTCCCTCGCAAGGGAAGGGACGGTGACTTCCACTCTGCCGCCCATCCCGGGGGCACCCCAGGACTGTCCCCCCGTCCACGCCTGTCCCCACACTCTGGCCTTCCCTCCGAGCTCCGGGAGACCCCCGCGGGTCCCCTGGCCGTGGGTGACCCCAGTGCTGGGGGGCTCGGAGCGGAGCCCCCTGCCCGGAGCCCGCCGGTGACGCAGAGCCCGGCGGTGCTTTCCCAACCGGGAAGTCATTTTGCCTGTGCCGGCAGGGCCGGGCCCAAAGCCGCCCTGCCCGGGGCCACCGAGCTGCCCAGGTGGGCTGAACCCGAGCACTGCTCCTCGCAGGGGGGACTGAGGGTGTGCGACCCCCAGAACGGGGATCGGGGGGCAGGAACCGACCAGAACCACCCGGAGCCGGGCCCGCCGTCGCCTTTTCGAGGCCGTGAGGCCCTGGCGGGTGCCGGAAGGGCTTTGGGGGCTTTGAGGGCTGCGGGCAGGGGGTCGTGGCCGTGCGGACCCCGGAGGTTTCACTGGTGGCTCGTCCTTGGCCGAGGCTCTCCCAGCGCCCCGGGATGCGGTGCTGAGTTCGGGGGGCACCTCCCCAGCAAGGCCCGGTCACTGCACGGCCGGATCCCAGCGCTGATTTTGCTGAGGAAATCAGGCTGGGAAGGAAACGCAGCCCTCTCCTCATCTGCCCCGCAGCCCCTTCCTCATTTGCCCCGCAGCCGGGGGCAGAGGCCGGGGTTGGGTTTGGGTTTGGCAGGGGGGGCACGGCGTGGGCACGGAGCCGGTGTGCGCCCAGCGGGACGTGCCACAGCCTGCCCGATCCCAGCGCTCCAGGAGGGGCACACCGGGGAACGAGAATGGGGACACAACGGGGGACACAACGGGGGACACGGCGGGGGACACGGGGGTCCTCTGGTTATGGGGGGAGCAGCACAGGGGGCACCCACCCCGCGGGAATGCCCGGTTGGAGGGTGATTCCGTGGGGTTACTGCGGACAGATCCTGGCTGGAGGCGCTGACAGGGCTGTGCCGAGGCTGGGCTCCGAGCCCCCCGTTTTGGGGGGCTGCCCCCCGGCCCCGCTCCTCCCCGCCGGGAGCAGGAAGCGCGGCCGGACTTTGGTCCATCCGGCGGCGCAGGGGCAGAGGAAGGAACTTGTCCTGTTCGCCGGAGCCCTGGGCCCGGCACCCATCGGCCGTGGGGGCTCTCCCGTGGCTGATACCGGGCTGAGCTCCGGCCGCGGCCCCTCGTGGGTGGGTGAGTTCCCTGCGTGCCGCTGGCTGCCTTTTTTTTTTTTTTATTAAGGAGTTATCTCTCCTTAGCACGAGGAGAAGCCCCCATTTTGGGGGTGAACTCCCCCTTTCCACACCTCCTTGCCTACCCCAGGCAGTAGCGTGGGAGTTTGGGATAAAATCCCACCAGTCCCTGTTTATTTCTCCCCCGTCTGCTCTTCAGAAGCTGGAGCGGAAGAGCTCGAGCTCCGGCCCCTTTTCGGAAAGGCCGGGATATTTTTAGCTGCCTGGCTCAGGGAGTTGGGATTTGCCATGGCTGCCTCCATCCCCCCCATCCTGCCGCAGCATCCTTCAGCTGTGTCCTGCACTGGAGCAGGGGACAAGGTCCAACCATGGCCGTGGGGACAACTCTGGGGGTCTCTGTGTGATACCCAGGGACCCTGGGGCTCGCTTTCAATGACAGGTGTCCCCTTGGGTTAGCTGTGTGTTACCCTGGGGCTCTCTAGTTTTTGTTGCTTGATGGGAAATTACCATTAATTTGGGGAGGTCTGGAAGCATCACTCTCCCTTCCCACTCCCAGCCAGCCGCTCCTCTCCACGCTGTGCCCACCCTGACCAGGTGTCCCCATGGAGTGACCCTGCCCGGGGGGACGCTGGCTGCCACCACCGCCAGCATGAGCGACTTCTGGCACAAGCTGGGCTGCTGCGTCGTGGAGAAGCCCCAGCCTGTGAGTACCCCCCCTGCGGCCATTTTGGGGAGGGGGCCTGGGGGTCAGCAGGGTTTGATGGCCTTCATCCCCTCGCAGAAGAAGAGGAGGAGACGGATCGACCGCTCCATGATCGGGGAGCCCATGAACTTCGTGCACCTGACACACATCGGCTCCGGAGACATGGCTGCGGGAGAGGGGCTGCCCATGGTACCCTGAGGGCTGGGGGGGCTTGGCTGGGGGCTGGGGCTCTCACCTGGGTGATGGGCGTTGGTTTTGGGGTGCTGGGTGTTGGTTTTGGGGTGCTGGGTCTCAGGGTTGGGTGGTGGGTGTTGGTTTTGGGGTGCTGGGTTCCAGGTTTGGTTGGTGGGTGTTGTTATAGGGTGCTAGGTGTTGTTTTGGGGTGCTGGGTTCCAGGCTTGGCTGGTGGGTGATGTTGTGGGGTGCTGGCTCTGAGGCTTGGCTGGTGGGTGATGTTTTGGGGTGCTGGCTCTCAGGGTTGGCTGGTGGGTGTTGTTATAGGGTGCTGGGTGTTTTTTTGGGGTGCTGGCTCTCCTGGCTGGGCCAGGGGGGTGGCACAGGGGAGTGACAGGTCCTCTCTGCAGACTGGTGCTGTCCAGGAGATGAGGTCCAAGGGCAGCCGGGAGCGACAGTGGAGCAACTCCCGAGTGTTGTAGCGTGTGAGTAGCAGCCCATGGCACCCCAGAACACCCACCTGAGCCACCACTTGGGTGCTCCCATAACCCACAACCTCTTGGATTTTTCAGATTCCTGGCTTTTTCAGCCCAAACTTGAACTGCCTGATCCCCCCCGCTGGAGGAGAAGCCTTCCTGGAGTGCTTTAAACCCGCGGTATTTATGCAGCGCCATCCTCACCCAGCTCCCGGTGACTTTGGGGCTTCATCCCTCTGGAAAATCCCTCCTTCCTGAAGGCACTGGCTGGTGACATGGGGAGGGAGCCCCCATCTCCTGCCCCACCTGGAAAGGACACAGCCGCCCCTCTGAAACGTGCCAGGAGCTGCCAGGCGCAGCCCACGTGTCCCAAATCCTCCCAGTTTTCCCTTTTCCCACTCCCATGGGCTGCATGGTGGTGCCTCAGTTTCCCCAGGGAACCAGTTATGGTGCAGAGACAGCTTTGATGCCTCCCAGAACATCCCAGAGAAGCAAAACCAGGATTAAGCCCTGATATTCTGGTGCCAAACCAGAGTTAAACCCAAGATGTCCTGGTGTCAAACCAGGATTGGATGTCAAACTGGGATTAAACCCCAATTCTTAGGAGCAGAACTGGGATTAAACCCCGATATTCTGGTGCCCAACCAGAGTTAAACCCAAGATGTCCTGGTGTCAAACCAGGATTGGATGTCAAACTGGGATTAAACCCCAATTCTTAGGAGCAGAACTGGGATTAAACCCCGATATTCTGGTGCCCAACCAGAGTTAAACCCAAGATGTTCTGGTGTCAAACCAGGATTGGATGTCAAACTGGGATTAAACCCCAATTCTTAGGAGCAGAACTGGGATTAAACCCCGCTGCTTTGGTGCCAAACCAGGATCCAACCCCAAGGCTCGGCTGTGTCTGAGCTCACAGTGCCTCCAGCTGGCATTCCACCGCCGCCAAGCCCCCACCTCCCTCCTTTTTTTAGGATCTGTTCCTGTTTTTAAGCTCCCAAACCCACCTGAGCAGCCTCTGTGGCCTCGGGCAGGACGTGGTGGGGTCCCCTCCACCCGGGATTGTCCCCAGGCCGGACAGGGCCTGACCCGAGAAGGGCTCTGGAATTAGGTGCGGGTGTACATAGTTTAATTAGTGCCAGGATTAAATATTAATTAGCACGTGCTGGGTGACAGAGCCTTTCCCCTGCCCTGTGCTCCGGTGGGAGCTGGGATTTTCCAGCCCTGCATCGTGCTCGGGTCAGGGTTTTTGGGAAAAACATTCCACCCTTGAAATAAATGCCTTGTGCTGGTCCAAGGGGTGGGTGCAGGAGCTGCCCCAGGCTCCTCGCTCCCTCCTCTGCTCCTGGAGCAGCCAAATCCACTGGGAAAAGCTGAAATTCACAGCAGGCAGAGGCCACGACTTTTTATGGCACAACCAGTTTCCTCCCGGCTGGGCTGGACTCGGGAGTGTGGCTGCACTGACACCCCCTCCTTGGACACCCCAAAATGTTCCTCTGACCCACTGTAGAGGGGATTGCACCCCAGGGAAAGAGGGGGTGCACCCCCAGCTCGAGTGGGGCACCACCCCATCCCAGAATAAAAGCCAAGAGCAAAAACTGGAAGAAAAGAGAAATTTAATCCTTGGAAAACAGTGACAGTTCTGGACGGCTGCATGTCCGGATCCACCTTCTGGGGCCTCCCTCTGCCCCCCAAGGAAGTTAAGATGATTAAGAACTCATTAACTCCCCCACCCCAACGCCTTCATCAAGGGGGTGCAACTCCTGCCCATGGCATCCCCAAAACCCCACCCTGGGGACCACTGGGGCACAGGGAGCCATCGAGGGGGGGACAAACCACGAGCTGACCTCTAACAGAGACAGCTGCCACCCCCCACACCCAGGCACCCCACGGGGGCCTGCTCAGTGACCCCAATTCCTCATCCAGACCTCAAAACTCCGCGGGGGTTCCCGCTGTTACTTTGGGGAGCCCGGGGGCTGCCCCGCGGCGATGCGGCTGACCCGCTCCAGGACATCCTGGGGACACAGCGGGGGCACGGCCTGCGCCAGGGGACACTCCTCCACCAGGCTGTTCATGGGCGTGGGTGGGGGCACCACCTCTTCCTCGGGGCCCCCTGCAGCCCCCAGACCCCCCAGAGCTGCCCTCAGGATGGGCAGCACCTTCTTGCGAGTGGCCACGGCGTTGCCCTGGGCGTAGGCGGCCACGCTGGGCCAGGGGCTGGGCAGCGGCCGCAGCAGCAGCGACGGCGCCGTCGCCTCCTCCAGCGCCCGGCACAGCTGTGGGGGAGCGAGCGAGGGGCTGGGACCTGCCCAGCACCCCCAACACTGCGAGGTTCTGGGGCAAAGCAGGGCTGGGTGTGCCCCAAACGTGGCTCCCTGACTCACCGTGCTGCGGAGGGGCTCCTGCGGGCTGTACACAGCGAGTTTCCGCGTGGGTTCGTGGTGTTCGTTAAAGGACACGGTCATGGCCACCAGCCCCGCGTAGCCACGGGCCTGGCAGAAAGCCTCCAGGTCCTGCAGCAGGCCAGGCCGGAGCAGGAAGGTCTGGGCAGAGGGGAGGGGTCTCGGTGTCACCGTGATGTCCCCAGCGTGCCACTCCCTGCCTCAGTTTCCCCCTCAGCCCCGAGTCTCACTTCCAGGTCCTCGAAGACGCCGCTGATGGCAACGACAGCCTCGTCATTGGAGAGGACTTTGAGGTCCTTCCGCAGCATCTGCTCTGTTGTCAGCCCTGGGAGGTGGCCAGGGGGTGAGGCCAGGGCACCTTCCTGTCCCCAAGGAGAGGGGGGGACACCCCTGGGTGCCGCTGGCCTGGCACACCCACCTGTGACATCGAACTTGGCCGCATGCAGGGCTCCGAACACGGCGTCGCGGGGCGGCAGCTCCGGGAACCTCTCCTCGAGCAGGGACACGCAGGCCACGTCCCTGGGGGTGACCTTGCCTGCAGCTGGCTTTAGGTTGATGCAGTCCAGCAGGATGGTGCCTGTGGGGGTGAGTGGGGCCGTGGTGTCACCGTCCCCAGGGACAGAGCTCAGCCAGGAGCCCACAGAATCACAGAATGATGAGGTTGGGAGAGACCTCTGAGATCACTGAGTCCAACCTATGCCCTAACACCTCAACTGGACTGTAGCACCATGTCCAGTGTTTGTTTAAACACATCCAGAGATGGTGATTCTGCACCTCCCTGGGAAGAGCATTCCAGTGCTTTATTATTCTTTTGGTGAAAAATTTCTTCCTAATATCCAACCTATCCCTTCCCTGAGGTAGCTTGAGACTATGTCCTCTGCTTCTGTCAGAGACTGACCCCACCTGTCTGCAATCTCCCTTCAGAAGTTGCAGAGAGCAATAAGGGCACCTCTAAACCTCCTCTTCTCCAGGCTGAACACCCCCAGTTCCTTCAAACGTTCCTCACAGGGTTTGTGTTCCAAGCCCCTCACCAGCCTTGTGTTCCCTAAACAGAGGAGCCCAGAACTGGACACAGCGCTCAAGATTTGGCCTCACCAGAGAACAGGGGCAGAATGAGCTCCCTGCTCCTGCTGGCCACACCATTCCTGACCCAGGCCAGGAGCCATTGTCCTTCTTGGCCACCAAGGCACGTTGCTGGCTCATTTTCAACCTGCTGGCCACCAGCACCCCCAGGTCCCTTTGAGCCCCACTGTCCCCAGCTTGTCCCCTGCTCACTCACCGTGCAGCAGCGCGGCCGTGGTCCTGTCCAGCACGCCCGGGGGGCCCTGCAGGATCCTCTCGGTCACCAGGGTGGCACAGGAGCCCACGGGCTCCACTGTCACCTGGCACGGGGGACCTCGGGCCCGCTCCAGTGGTCGGTGATCCAGGACCTCCACCACGGCCTCCTCCAGGGCAGCGTCAGCACTGGCGGGCAACGGGAAGGGTCACCCCTGGCATTGTGAAACCCCCTTGTTCCTTTTTATCCCTTAAAAACTCCCTGGAAATGGATCCATTTCACCCATCCTGGGCGGCAAAATCAAGCCCTGTTCTGTGTGGGTGGCCCTGGCTGTTCCCAAGGTGCCACCCCCTGGCTCACCAGGGCAGGATGTGGTGATCAACCAGAGTCAGGGAGAGCGGCCCAGCGTGGTGCCAGGTCCATCTCATCCCAAAAAATGAGTGAGATGGGCGGGATGCCCCAATCCCACAGCAAAATGAAGAAATCAACCAAGGCTCTGCATGGGTGGCCCTAACTGTCCCCAAGGTGCCACCGCACAGCTCACCAGGGCAGGATGTGGTGATCCACCAGAGTCAGGGAGAGCTGCCCAGCACGGTGCCAGGTCCATCTCATCCCAAAAAATGAGTGAGGTGTCTGGGATGCCCCAATCCCACAGCAAAATCCACCAAGGCTCTACTGTCCCCAAGGTGCCACCCCCCAGCTCACCAGGGCAGGATGTGGTGATCCACCAGAGTCAGGGAGAGCAGCCCAACATGGTGCCAGGGCCATCTCATCCCAAAAAATGAGTGGGGTGTCTGGGATGTCCTGATCCCACAGCAAAATCCACCAAGGCTCTGCTGTCCCCAAGGTGCCACCCCTTGTGTCACCCAGGCAGGACATGGTGATCAACCAGAGTCAGGGAGAGCAGCCCAGCGTGGTGCCAGGTCCATCTCATCCCTCCAAGTCGACTTCATCCCAAAAAACGAGCGAGGTGGGCGCGATCCCCCAATCCCACAGCAAAACCAAGCGAGGGTGGCCCTGGCTGTCCCCAAAGTGCCACCCCTTGTCTCACCCAGGCAGGACATGGTGATCCACCAGAGTCAGGGAGAGCAGCCCAGCGTGGTGCAGCCGCCCCAGGTCGATCTCGTCCCGGAAGAGCAGCGAGGCGGCCGGGATGCCCCGCTCCCGCAGCAGGAACGCCGTCTCCGTCCGCAGCGCGAAGTCGGCGCGGGGGATGTTGAGCACGGGCACGAAGGCGGCCTTGGGAGCTGGGGTGGTCTGCGACAAGGGTGTCACCCTCAGTGAGGTGTCCCCAAGGCCAGCAGTGCTCCCCGGGGTAGTGGTTGAGCCTCACCTGGGCAAGGAAATAGGCCAGGGCCAGCGCGGAGACGGCGGAGTCCAGGTCACAGGCCTCGTTGCCCATCACCACATGGATCTCCTGGTGCTGCTGGATGTGATCCTGCAGGGATGGGAGATGGGAGGTGTCAGGCACAGCAGCAGCACGGCCCTGTCCTCCAAAATGCCCCAAACTGCTCCTTGTCCTCATCAGTGTCCCTGGAGTCACGCATCACAGGTGTCACCCACGGATTGCACCCTCCTGACGAGCTCCTGGCGCCCCTGGGGCTGCCTGGGATCCACTTCTGGCCTCCTGACGAGCTCCTGGCACCCCTGGGATCCATTTCTGGCACTAAATCCTCGGGTTTGGGGTGTGTGTGTGTGTGTGGAGTGAGGTGTGTTGGAATTCCAGGAAAACTCACCTGAGCCAGCAGGTGAGGTCAGGGACCATCCCAGCCCTGCAGCCCTGGGGGCACTGAGTGCTTTAACCCATTTGTTTTAGAATTTGGGGTGGGTTGTCACCCCCAAAAAAAATGATATTTCACCCTCTTTTGCTTGCCTGCAGGAAAACATGTCACTCCCCTGTCCCCCGCCCACGGGAGCCACCCCGTCCCCAGGCTCTGATTTTTGGGACAATTCTCTGCTGCCATAACCCAGATTTGCTAATTTTTGGTAAAACAGGCAAAAAAAAAAAACAACCCGAGAGCAGCTGCAGCCCAAACCCCTCGGCAGGTCCGGGATGGGGCTGCAGCAGGGAGAGATTTTGGGGTGTCCCTGGTGAGGCTGTGCCACCTCAGTGGGGCACCACACCTGGGGCTCCCAGCCATGGGGTGCTCGATTCCCCCTGCACCCCCCATTTCCTGATCCCTCATTTCCTTGCACCCCAATTACTCCCCTGCACCCCCAGTTCTCCCCCTACACCCCAATTCCCCCCCCATGCACCCCATTCTTCCCCATTTAACTGCACTCCCAATTCTCCCCCTACACCCCAATTCCCTCCTCCCCCATTTCCCTCCCTGCACCCCCAATTCTCCCCCTGCTCCCCCATTTCCCTGCACCTCCATTTCCTCCCCTGCACCTCCATTTCCCTGCACCTCCATTTCCTCCCCTGCACCTCCATTTTCTTGCACCCCATTCCCCCCCCCCTGCATCCCCAATTCCCCCCTGCTCCCCCATTTGTCTGCTCCCCCATTTCCTTGCAGCCCCATTTCCCTGAACCCCAATCCCCCCCGATCCCCCATTTTCCTGCTCCCCCATTTCCCTGCACCCCAATCCTCCCCATTTCCCCCCCATTTCCCTGATCTCCCCTGAGCCCCCCAGGACCCCCCCAGGACCCCCCAATCCCCCCATACCTGCAGGGCTGCCCGGTTCCCCAGCACGAAGCGCTCCATGACAGCGCTGATCCACGGCCTGAACCGCCAGGATGGCCCCAGTATAAACCAGTACGGCCCAGTATAACCCAGAACAGCTCACTACAGCCCAGTATAGCCCAGTACGGCCCAGTATAACCCAGAATAGCTCACTACAGCCCAGTATAACCCAGTACAGCCCAGTATAGCCAACTCAGTATAGCCCAGTACAGCCTAGTATGGCCCCAGTATAACCCAGTATGATTCAGTACAGCCCAGTATAACCCAGTACAACCCAGTACAGCCTGGCACAGCCCAGTATAACCCAGTACACCCTACTATAACCCAGTACACCCTACTATAACCCAGTACAGCCCAGTAGGGCCCAGTACAAACCCAGAGTACCCCAGTCCAGCCCAGTATAAGTTCAGACTATCCCAGCCCAGTCCAGTATCACCCTGGACTATCCCAGTACCCCACGAGACTATCTCAGTATCACCCCAGGCTGTTCCAGTCCAGCCCAGTATAGGCCCAGACTATCCCAGTACAGACCAGTATCACCTCAGACTGTCCCGGTATCACCCCAGACTGTCACAGTCCAGCCCAGTTTAAGCCCAGACTGTCCCAGTACCACCCCAGTACCACCCCAGACTATCCCAGTCCAGCCCAGTCCGTCCCAGCCCGGCCCAGTTTAAGCCCAGACTGCCCCGGTTTAAGCCCAGTCTGTCCCAGTCCCACCCCAGTTTGTCCCAGTCCGTCCCAGTCCAGCCCCGCCGCCCCTCCCCCCGCGCCGCAGGGGCCGCTGGGAGGGGGCGGGGCCGATCCCGGCATCCCCCGCGCCGGGGGGGGGGGCTCGGGGGGGACCCCAAATTTCCTCATTTCACCCCAAAACCCTCCCGGGACCCCAAAGCCCCCCCCTGAACCCCCAAACACCCCCCCCAGCCCCCTCTGACAGCCCCAAATTCCGCTGCGACCCCAAAACCCCCCCCCAGCCCAACCCTCAGCCCGCAGAGCCGCCCCCCAAAATTCGAGTGCACCCCCAAAATTTACACCTTGAATCCTCTTCTTCCTCCTCCTCCTCCTCCTCCTCCTCTTCCTCCTCCTCCTCCTCCTCCTCCTCCTCCTCCCCCCGCCCTAAATCCGCCTTCCCACGGGGCAGCCGCAGCCAGGTGGAAAACAGGCCCCGAAAAAGGGGGAAAAAGAGGGAAAAAAGAGGAAAAAAGGAGAAAAAAAAAGGGAGGAAAAAAAACAACAGGGAAGAGGATAAAAGAAAGGGGAGATAGGAAAAAAAAAGAGGGAAAAGGAAGACGAGAGAAGCGAAAGGAGCGCGAAGGAATTAAAAAAAAAAAAAAAGAGGATTAAAGAGGAAAAAAGCAGGAGGTGAAAGAAGGAAGAAGAAAGAAAAAGGGAATAAAGGAGGAGAGAAGAAGGAGAAAAAGCAGGAGAAAAGGTAAAGGGTTAAAAAGGAGGGATAAAGTGAAAAAAAGAAGGGAAGAGGTGGGGGAAAAAGGGAAAAAGTTGAACAGAAGGGGAAAGGAGGAAAAAAATAAAAGAAGGGGAAAGGAGGGGGGAAAAAAAAGAAGGGAAAAAAAGGAAAAAAATTAAAAAGGGAAAAGGAGCATAAACAAGGAAGAAAGAAGGGGAAGGGAGGAAAAACGAGGATTAAAGAAGGAAAAGCAAGGAATACAGGGGGAAAAACAAGGAATAAAGGGGGAAAAACAAGGATTAGGGGGGAAAATGAAGGAAAAGACGGAAGGGGGGACCCCGGGCGGGGACTCCGAGGGGCGGCCCCGCCCCGGGACCCCCCGGTCCGGCCGGACCGGCCCCGCCGCGGGCTCGGGGCGGAGCCGTGAGTGGGGATTGAAATTCGCCTTCCCTTGTGCCTGTCAAATGGCACTGTGGTTTGTTTAATTTAATTTTATTTTATTTTATTTTATTTTATTTTATTTTATTTTATTTTATTTTTAAATTGTATTTTATTCTATTCTATTCTATTTTATTCTATTTGTTTTATTCTATTCTATTTAATCTTTAATTCTATTCTATTTCATTTTATTTTAAAATTTTATTCTATTCTCTTTGGTTCTATTCTATTTTTAAATTTAATTTAATCCTATTCTATTTTATTCTATTTTATTTTATTTTTAAGTTATATTTAATTTCATTTATTTCATTTCATTTTAATTTCATTTCCAGCCCCCGTATATATACGTATATGTCTATAGATACAAATATATATGTGTGTATATATATTTATACATATACAAATTTACATTTCTATTTATATTTATGATTAAATCTATATTTATGATTACAGTTATATTATCTCGCTATTTTCCTCAACCAGCCCAATTTTCCCTCCTCAGGCTGAGCTTTGGGATGCAGCTGCCCCTGGACAGACCCAGAGCATTCCCAGGAGCCTGATTGGAACCAGAGCAGCACCAGAGGGTCCCATGGAGCAGGAGGGGACCCCCGAGCCCCCCGAGGAGGCTGCGGGTGGGGACAGAATTCCCAGTGCTGGGGGTGGAAATCCTGGTGTAGGGGATGGAGCTCCCAATGTTGGGGATGGAATTCCCGAAGTTGGGGGCTCAATTCCCAATGTTGGGGACGGAATTCCCAATGTTGGGGACGGAATTCCTGGTGTAGGAGACACATTTCCCAATGCTGGGGATGGAATTCCCAATGTTGGGGACGGAATTCCTGGTGTAGGAGCCACATTTCCCAATGCTGGGGATGGAATTCCCAATGTTGGGGACAGAATTCCTGGTGTAGGAGCCACATTTCCCGATGCTGGGGACGGAATTCCCGGTGCTGGGGACACAAACCCCGATGTTGGTGACACAATTCCCAACGTTAGGGATGAAATTCCCGGGGCAGGGCATGGAATTCCCAATGTCGGTGACAGAATTCCCGTTGCTGGGGATGGAAATCCCAATGTAGGGGACACAGTTCCCAATGTTGGTGACACAGTTCCCAATGTAGGGGACACAATTCCCAATGTTGGGGACACAGTTCCCAATGTTGGTGACACAATTCCCAGTGCTGGGGACACAGTTCCCAATGTTGGTGACACAATTCCCAGTGCTGGGGACGGAATCCCCAGTACCGCTGATGGAATTCCCGATGTTGGTGACACAATTCCCGATGTTGGTGACACAATTCCCAGGGCAGGGAGCTCCCGGGAAGGTTCTGGGGGCCCACCTGGGCAGCAGGAGGGGGTCTCCAGCCCCGAGGGACCCCCGGGGGGCTCCCCCAAGGAGCAGCAGCAGCCCCGGCATGAGGGGTCCCTGCAGGAGGGGTCCCCCAAGGGGCAGCCCCTGGAGGAAGGGGGGTCCCCCAAGGGGCAGCCGGCCCCACAGGAGGAGGGGCCCCTCAAGGAGCAGCCCCAGCCGGACAGGGGCGCCCCCCAGGACAGGGGGTCCCCCCCGGCCGAGCCCCCCCGGGCGCAGCCCCCCGGGGATTTTTACTTTGTCAAGTGGATCCTGTGGAAGGGGCAGCGCACGGCCCTGGTGATGCAGAGCGAGAACGGGCCCTGCCCGCTGCTGGCCATCATCAACATCCTCCTCCTGCAGTGGAAGGCAAGCTGGGGGCACCCCCAAATCCCCAGGGGAGGGGGCCCAGGGTTGGGATGGGGTGGGATCAGTGGGATGGGATGGGATCAATGGGATGGGATGGGATGGGATGGGATCAATGGGATGAGATGGGATGGGATCGATGGGATGGGATCAATGGGATGGGATGGGATCAATGAGATGGGATGGGATCAATGGGATCGATGGGATGGGATGGGATGGGATCAATGGGATCAATGGGATGGGATCAATGGGATGGGATGGGATCAATGGGATCGATGGGATCAATGGGATCAATGGGATGGGATCAATGGGATGGGATGGGATGGGTTCGATGGGATGGGGTCAATGGGATGGGATCAATGGGATGGGATGGGATCAATGGGATCAATGGGATGGGATGTGCCCAGCCTGCTCTGGTTGCCCCCAGGTGAAGCTGCCCCCACAGACAGAGGTGGTCACGGCCGAGGAGCTGATGGCACATTTGGGTGAGTGGGGACCCTGCTCTGGCACCAGGAATGGGGTGAGGGGCTCCAGTGGGACCCCAACATCCCCTGGGGGGGGACTCTGACCCTGCTGCCTCGCAGGGAATTGCATCCTGGCCACCCAACCCCGGGACACCTCGGAGGCGCTGCAGCTGAACTTCCAGCAGGTGAGGAGCAGCCCCAGGAGGAGCATCCAACCCCGCTGGCTGCAGGATTTGGGGTGGCACCTTCAGGGGTGACCCCTCCCCGCGTTTCTGCTGCCCCCCAGAACATCAATGACACCATGACGGTGCTGCCCAAGCTCTCCACGGGGCTGGACGTCAACGTGAGGTTCACGGGGGTCTCAGATTTCGAGTACACCCCCGAGTGCATCGTCTTCGACCTCCTCAACATCCCACTCTACCACGGCTGGCTGGTGGACCCCCAGGTGAGCCCCCCTGCCTGGCTGCTGGTGCCTTCTGTGGGGCCACAGAGGTGTCCCCAGGGCTGGAGGGGAGCTGGGGCTCGTCCTGGCCAAAGTGACCAAGCTGAGGATGGATGTCCCAACCCTGGGAGTGCTCACGGCCAGGTTGGGTGGGGCCTGGAGGAACCTGGTCTAGCAGGAGGTGTCCCTGCCTGTGGTTTGGGGGGGTCCAGATGAACCTGGTCTAGCAGGACTGTGGTTTGGGGGGTCCAGATCCAGAAATGATCCAGAAATTCCCAACCCAAAGCCCTCAGTGATGTTTGGGGTGGGGCTTTGAACCTGAGGCAGTGCCTGGCTCCTCTGGCCATGGCAGGAGGTTGCACTGGGTGCTCCCTTCCCTCAGAAGGGACCCTCAGACCCCTCTGCTCTGGCTCCATGCCCACCAGGAGCTCACCCTGTGTCCCTTCCATCCCACAGAGCCCCGAGCAGGTCCAGGCCGTGGGCAAGCTCAGCTACAACCAGCTGGTGGAGAAGATCATCACCTGCAAACACGCCAGCGACTCGCGCCTGGTGAGCGAAGGTAACGGCCCCGCTCCCTGCCCGCGGCCCCGGGGGCACCGCCGGGCACCCCCAGCCCTGCCACGTCCCCGTTGTGCCCTCAGGGCTGGTGGCAGAGCAGTTCCTGGAGTCCACGGCGTCTCAGCTGACCTTCCACGGGCTGTGCGAGCTCACGGCCCGCGCCCGCGAGGGAGAGCTCGGCGTCTTCTTCCGCAACAACCACTTCAGCACCATGATCAAGCACAAGGTGGGACCCCAGAGCCCTCTGTGCCCCCCAGAGCCCTCTGTGCCCCCCAGAGCCCTCTGTGCCCCCCAGACACCCAGCCAGGGCTCACTGTCACCTGTCCTGTGGGAATGTTCCTCACGCGGGGTCACCAGATGTGGTGGTGTTCCCCAGGAGGAGGGAAGGGGTGAGAATCTTGAGTCCATGTTTCAGAAGGCTGATTTATAATTTTACTATTTTTTGATATGATACTATATCATTATTCTATTAGATTAGATTATATCATCATTACATTATATTAAATCATCATTACATTATATTACATTATATTACATTATATTACATTATACTATATTATATTATATTATATCATCATTATATTATATTATATTATATTATATTATATTATATTATATTATATTATATTATATTGCATTATATTGCATTGTATTGCATGATATTGCATTATAATGTATTGCATTATATTATATTACGTTATATTATATTATATTATATTATATTATATTATATTATATTATATTATATTATATTATGTTATATTATCATCATTATATTATATTACATTACATTATATTACATTGCATTACATTACATTGCATTATAAGAAAATGCTCTATTAAAATTGTACTAAAAGAATAGGAGAAAGGATTTCATCAGAAAGGAATAGAAAGGAATGGAATGATAATAAAATCTTGTGACTCTCAGAGAGTCTGAGCCAGCTGGACTGTGATTGGCCATTAATTAAAAACGACCACATGAGACCAATCAAAGCTGCACCTGCTGCATTCCACAGCAGCAGAGAATCATTGGTTACCTTTAGTTCCTGAGGCTTCTCAGCTTCTCAGGAGAAAAAGATCCTAACAAGAGGATTTTTCATAAAACACCTCTGTGACACTGTCCCTCCTGCCCAGGGCCACCTCTACCTGCTGGTGACAGACCAGGGCTTCCTGCAGGAGCAGGGGGTGGTGTGGGAGAGCCTGCACAGCGTGGATGGGGACAGCTGCTTCTGTGACACCGAGTTCCACCTCAGCCACCCCCTGGGCAAGGACAGGGCCCCCCCGGCCCCCCCGGCCCCCCGGCTGCAGCAGAGACAAGTGGACCAGGTTTGGTGTGGGGACAGGTGGTGGCAGTGGGCGTGGGTGTTGTGAGGTCCCCAGGGTGAGGGAAGAGATGAAATTTGGCTCAAAATTCTCAGAAGGCTGATATTATATTATATTATATTATATTATATTATATTATATTATATTATATTATATTATATTATATTATATTATATTATATTATATTATATTATATTATATTATATTATATTATATCGTATCGTATCGTATCGTATCGTATCGTATCGTATTATATCGTATTATATCATCATATTACATCATATTACATTATAATTATATTATACTATATTACATTATATTACATTACATTATATTACATTATATTACATTACATTATATTACATTACATTACATTATTTAATAATATCATATTATTACATTACATTGCATTATTACATTACCTTACATTACCTTACATTACATTATATTTATTATAGAATACCATACTAAAACTATACTAAAGAAATAGAGAAAGGACACAGACAGAAGGCTTAACACGAATGATAAAATTCTTGTTATAAGAAATAATATAATCGATTTAAAATAATAAAATTAAGTATTATAATAAAGTAGTATAATAAAATTATTCTTATGTTTTAAAATATCACAAATCTGAATATTTTTGTAATAAAGAACAAGATAATATTTTATTAAGTATTAACATTAACATTAATATATATATAATAAAAACCTGTGATTCCCAACACAGTCCTGACACAGCTGGCTGGGATTGGTCATTAAGTAAAAACAATTCTTCACGTGTTGGAAAAACAATCTCCAAAGCAGCCAAACACGAGAAGCTGAGGCTTCTCAGCTTCCCAGGAGAAAATCCTGGACAGGGGGATTGTTTTAGAAAACATTTAGAAATTTTTTAAAAAAATTTAGAAAATAGGCACATTCCAAAGCAGCCAAACACGAGAAGCTGAGGCTTCTCAGCTTCCCAGGAGAAAATCCTGAGCAAGGGGGATTTTTTTTAGAAATCCTGACAGGAACGAGTGATTCCCATCATGGATCCCGCAGGGTTTGACCCCCTCTCTTTGTGCTTCTGCCAGGATTTCATGGTGGCCCTGTCGCTGCAGCAGGGCCAGGACCCCTCCTCGGTGCTCAGCGACCTGGAGCTGGCGCGGCAGCTGCAGCAGGAGGAGTACCAGCAGCACCATCCTCATCCTCATCATCCTCAGCACCCCGCTCCTCCTCAGCTGCTCCCAGCACAGGTAACCAGGGGGTGCTGCTGGCCCTGGGGGGGTCTCTGCAGGTCCCCCCAGAGCTCAGCCCTGTCCCTGTCCCCACAGGTGGAGCGGCGGCCGCGGCAGAGGCCGGATTTGGACTGCACCCTCCTCTAGCACCCCGTGCCCGGGGGTCCCCACGCCTGCAGCCCCTCAAAACCCAGCTCTGCATCCTCCAGGGGGTCCCTGTGGGCTGGAGATGAGGCTGCGGGTGGGGACGGAATTCCCAATGTTGGGGATGGAATTCCCAATGTCGGGGATGGAATTCCCAGCGCTGGGAGCACAGTTCCCAATGTTGGGGATGGAATTCCCAATGTTGGGGATGGAATTCCCAGTGCTGGGAGCACAATTCCCAGCGTTGGGGATGGAATTCCCAATGCTGGGGACACGATTCCCAACGTTGGGCATGGAATTCCCAATGTTGGGCATGCAGTTCCCAATGTTGGGGACACAATTCCCAATACTGGGGACACAATTCCCGGTGTTGGTGACAGAATTCCCGGTGTAGGGGATGTTATTCCCAATGAGGGGTGACCGTCTGAGCCCACCCCAGGAGCACCCCAAACTTCCCAGTGGCCTTAACACAGGGGGGTCCCACTCAGGGGGGTCCCACACCTCAGTCCACGCTCCAGGACTCGGGCGGGTGTGGGCGTGGGGATGGGGGGGACACCTGCACCCCCTGTTCAAAATGTGGCCTTAGCCCTTGGCAAGTAAAGGACTTGTCCCCCTGCACATGGATCTGGCACCACTGGGGGCTTCTGTTCTCTGGGGGGACTGGGGGATTTGGGGGGAGTTTGGGGCATTTGGGGTCACGGTTCCTCCGCGGGTTTGGGGGCCCCTCTGTGGGGTGCTGTGGTGCGGCGTGGCCGCCAGGCGGCGACAGGGGGCGAGTGGGGCCTGCGGGGTTCCATAGGGGCACAAATGGGGCACATTCTGGGGTGTCTATAGGGGGTATATGGGGCACATACTGGGGTGTCTGTGGGGGGTATATGGGGTACATATAGGGCTATCTATAGGGTGTCTGTATGGGGTGCAAAGGGCACATGCAGGGCTGTCTGTAGGGGGTATATGGGGCACATGTAGGGCTCTCTATAGGGTGTTTATAGGTGGTGCACAGGGTACATATAGGGCTGTCTATAGGGGGTATATGGGGCACATATAGGGCTGTCCATAGCGGGTGTATAGGGGGCACCCTGGGGTCTATAGGGGGTGCACGGATCCCGTCTCGGCGGTCGATTGCTCGCGCCTGGGCCCCGCTCCGCCCCACGGCGGGCGCCGCTCCCCGCGGCGTTGCGGTGACGTCACTCCCGGGTTCGCGGTGACGTCACTGCCGCCGCTGCCTGGCGCGGGGCGCGCGCGGGACGGAGGGGGGCGAGCGGCGGCTCCGTGAGGGCTCCGGGCGGCGGCGGCTCCGTGAGGGCTCCGGCGGCGGCTGCGGGTGAGTGCGGCCGGGGGCGCGCGGGGCCGCCCCGCTCCGGGAGGGGCCGCCCGGAGGGGGCCGCGGGATGGTTCCCGCTCGCCCCCTCCGCGCCAGGCCCGCGGCCGGGCCTTTCTGCGGGCGTTGGGCGCGCACCGGAGCCATCCCGGGCCTCCATCCGCCCTCGGGCAGGGGCCGGCGGGGCCCCCCGGGGCTGCCCGGGCGGGGCCGGGCGGAGGCGGGGCCCCCCCGGGCCCACAGCGGCCTCGGGCCCCGGCGGGGTCGCTGCCCCCCGGCCCGGTAGGGCGCGCAGCCCCCGGGCCCGGATCCCTCCCGGTCCCGTTTATCTGCCCACGACTTGAAAACGTCAGGGTTTTGCCGGTTTCCAGCAGGATCGCTGCTAAAATCACCTCTTGGGGAGGGGGGTCCGGCCTGGCGGTGCCCCCTCCTGCACCGGCTCCGTGCCCCGGTGCCGGCACATCGCGCTGTGCCGCCGGTGCCCCGGGGGAGAAGGAGCTGCCGGCCCTGACCGGGGCCTCACCCCGTCCTCCCACGCTCCCCTCCCGTTACCTGCCCGCGGCGCGGCCGCGGGAGTCGGGAATTGCGGCACCTCCCTCCCGCCCGCCCTTGCGAAACCGGCCACGGTGGTTCCTCTTCCTCCCGCAGCCGAGCGGAGCCGCCCCGGCCCTCGCCACAATCCGTGTCGGGGATTCGCTTCCCGGGGGTGCGATCCCAACCGACCCCATCCCGACCCCGCGGGGTTCCCCAGAATCGGCCGGTGGGGAGGGACGGGGAGCCGGGATGCGCTGACCCCGCGGCGAGCGGCGGCTCCCCCAAAGGCTCCCCCGTCCGAAGCCTTTTTGAGGCACAAAGGTGCTCATTGTGTCGCCAGCAAATCCCTAATCCCGCGCCGGGGCCGTGCCTGGCCTCGGAGGGCTGGCGGTGGGCTCCGTGCCTCCGTTTCCCAGCGGCAATGGGGTTTGGATCAGCCGCGGGATGCGCCCACGGGAGGGAAACCAAAGTCGGGGGCTTCTCCCTTCTCCCGATCCCGCTGCGGAGGCGGGGGCCCGGCTCTGCCCTCGGGCTGGTCGGAGGAGCCGAGCTCCGGTTGGAAGCAGGACTGGGGCCCCTGTTAATGATCACCCTCTGACCTCCGGGCTGCAGGGAGCAAAGTCCCTCGGTGCCCGAGCCGAGCACCGACGGCGATTTCACCGGGGCCTCCCTGGGAGCCGAGGTGGAAATTGGGGTGCCTGGTGGGGCCGGGGTGGGATCAGCCATCTCCTCGGAGATGTCCCCCTCACCTGTCCCCCTCTCCCTCCCCCCAGCATGTTTCAGACCTTGTACAGCTATTTTTGGTGGGAACGGCTCTGGCTCCCGGCAAACCTCACCTGGGCTGACCTGGAGGACCGGGATGGGCGAGTCTATGCCAAAGCCTCTGACCTGTACATCACCCTCCCCTTTGCCTTCCTCTTCCTCGTTGTCCGGCACCTCTTTGAGACGTGAGTCCCTTCCCTGGGGGTGGGGGCGGATGCTGAGCCCCCGATCCGGCTCTCCCCGTGCCCTGGGGGCTGTGGCTGAACCCTGGGATGTGGCACCTTGTGCTCAGCCTGGCTGGGGGTCCCGATGCCCCCTAACAAACCCATGTGCTCCCTTTTCCCCACACAAACACGGCCTTGAGGCAGTGGTTTGTTGGGTAAACAATGGGAACAGACCCGGCTTTGTTGGGATGGCAAGAGAAGGGGGGGCCCAGTGGGGACAGCCTATGACAGAGGGACCCGAGGGGCTCCCCTGTGGCAAAACCCACCCTGGAGGAGGCACAGCAGGATGGGGAGGCCAAGGCACTGATGGTTGTGGGTCCCTGGGTGGCTTTGGTGGGGCCAAATCACGCAGGTGACAGGAACTCCTTCCCCAGGTACGTGGCCACCCCCCTGGCCGGGCTCCTGAACGTCAAGGAGAAGGTGCGGTTAAAAGCCACCCCCAATGCGGTGCTGGAGAGGTTTTATGCTGCCACCAGCAAACACCCCAAGCAGGTGAGGCTCAGGGGGTGCCCAGAGGTGCTTGGGGGGGTCAGGGTGGCAGAGCCAGGGCTGTGTGACACAGTGGGGCTGCCCTGGTGTCCCCAGGCCGACGTGGAGATGCTCTCCAAGAAGAGCGGCTGCAGCGTGCGCCAGGTCGAGCGCTGGTTCCGCCGCCGCCGCAACCAGGACCGGCCCAGCCTGCTCAAGAAGTTCAGGGAGGCCAGGTGAGACCCCCCTCTCCTCCTGCCTGGTGTCACTGTCCCTCCACCCTGGGGGGGCTCTGGGAGCCCCAGCTCGGCCAGGAGCTGCCTGGGAGGGTGGGAGATGCGGGATCCGGGGCCGTCCTCCTCCCTCCTGCTCCCCGGTGCCCGTCTGAGGAACGTCTGCTTCCTTTTTCCAGTTGGAGATTCACCTTTTACCTTATTGCTTTCATTGCTGGCATGGCTGTCATAGTGGATGTGAGTATTGCCCCCCTCCCCTTGCTCCCCTAGCCCCCCTGGCCCCTCTGACTCCTGTGTCTCCCCATCCTGCAGAAACCTTGGTTCTACGACCTCCGGGAGGTGTGGAAGGGGTACCCCATCCAGGTGAGCACAGATCCCATCCCAGCTGCCAGCCCACGGCTTCTCCTGAGCACCAGGGGGAACTTGGGGGTGCAGGAGGGTTTGGGGGTCCTCAGGGCACCCAGGTGGTGCCCACAGAAGGGGACCAAACCCCTCTGGGAGACACAACCTGTCCCTTGTCCCCAGAGCGTGCTGCCCTCCCAGTACTGGTACTACATGATCGAGCTCTCCTTCTACTGGTCCCTGCTCTTCAGCATCGCCTCCGACGTCAAGCGCAAGGTGGGGGCTCTGGGATGGGCTGGGGGACACTGGGACAGCTCAGCAGGGTTTTCTTCACCCTCATGGTGGGCAGGAGGGAGCAGCTGCGAGGATGTGGGGACACCCAGGGGCTGTGGGATGGGGGTTTTTGCTGTGGGTGGGACCCAGGCTGCTGTAACCTCTCCCCCGTTGCTTTGGGCACAGGACTTCAAAGAGCAAATCATCCACCACGTGGCCACCATCATCCTCATCAGCTTCTCCTGGTTTGCCAACTACGTCCGTGCCGGGACGCTCATCATGGCCCTGCACGACTCCTCGGATTATCTGCTGGAGGTCGGTGTGTCCCCCTCCCCTGCTGCCACCGCCACGTCCCCCATCCTGCGCCCCCTCCCAGCTCACCCCCTCTGCCCTCCCAGTCTGCCAAAATGTTCAACTATGCTGGGTGGAGGAACACCTGCAACAACATCTTCATCGTCTTCGCTGCGGTCTTCATCGTCACCCGCCTGGTCATCCTGCCCTTCTGGTGAGCTCTGCTGGGGAATGGGGGGAAACTGAGGCAGGGGCTGGGGGAGTCTCAGTGACAGGAGTGGCTTTTCCTGGCAGGATCATGCACTGCACAATGGTTTATCCGCTGGACCTCTACCCTGCTTTCTTTGGCTACTACTTCTTCAACTTCATGATGGTGGTGCTGCAGGTGCTGCACATCTTCTGGGCCTACCTCATCATCCGCATGGCCCAGAAGTTCATAACTGGAAAGGTGAGAGGGGGCTCTGGGGATGTCAGGGGAGACCCCCCCCAGATCCTGAATCCCGACTGCTCTTGGCCCCCCAGATGCCTTCAGTTGGGAGAAGCCGCTGTGGTTGCAATGGGGAAGCCGAAGCACGGCAGGAGAATGGGGGGAGCTGCTGCCTGAACGCCCTTTTCCCTCTGCCCACAGGTGGTGGAGGACGAGCGGAGCGACCGCGAGGAGACGGACAACTCTGAGGAGGAGGAGGAGGTGGCCAAGAACGGTCCCCTCTCCAATGGCCACCCTGTCCTCAACAACAACCACCGCAAAACCGACTGAGCGCCCCGGACCCGAGAGCTGCCGCCACCGGCCCGGCCCCTCCGGCCGCTCCGCACCGGGAGCCCCGGAGCGCCCGCCGGGCCCCGCCCCTGCTGCGGAGCGGGGCCGCAGCTCTGCCTCACACTCACCGCCGGTGCCCTTCCACCTCTCACCTGCTGCCTTAATCCACTGCGGTTCCCCGGCCAGGCGGGGACCCCTCCGGGACGGCTCCATCCCTCCGGGGCGGTTCCTTCCCGCCCCGCAGCCCCTCGGATTGGCTCTGGCCAAAGAGCTCGGCCCCGGCCCCTGGCCGGGCTCTGCGTTATTCCCATTTTCCCAACCGTTCCTTCACCGGGGGCAGGGGGGAAAATCCCCCCTTTTTCCTGAGCTGGGTTCGGCTGGAAAAGCCGAACTGGGAGGGAGGAGCAGGGAATTCCTGGGTGTTCCAGTGCCTCAATGATGGGATGACACTATGGAAGTACTTGGGGGAAGGAAGCTGCGGGCTTGAGTCACTCCTCGTGTCTCACAGAGTTTAATCCTCTCATTTCTCTTTGCTAAATGGATTTTTGAGTCTCTCCCTCTCCGTGGCCTCTCCCAGCTGTAACAGGACAAATTTCCAACTTGATTTTTTCCTTTTTTTTTTTTTTTTTTCTTTTCCTCCTTTCTATTTATTTGGAAGACAGAAGGAGCCGGGCTTGGCTCTGTCTCCTGCATCCTTTGGGATGCTGTGAGACCTCCCAGAACAGAGGGGTGGGAGGGGAAAAGGACCATTAACCAATGTCAGACCAAAACGTGTTTTGTTGTTGTTTTTTTGGGTTTTTTGGTTTTTTTTTTGTTTTTTTTTTTTTTTTTTTTTAATAAATAAAAGGTTAAATATATTAAAAGTTAAAAAAACTAATAAACTTGGGTAAAAAAAAAATTACAGGATTTGGGCATATTCTGTGACTGCTACAGTGCCCCTGGGGTGGGGGGGTTATTTTGGCATAGATCCCTTAGGCAGTGCTAAAAATGGGCAGAGTTGAGGGTTTTGATGGTTTTTATGGGTTTTTTTTTTTTCCTCCTAAAAGTTCTCCAAGTCTTCAAGCCCAGGCTGGAGCTGGGTTTGGGTTCCCTGAGGAGCTGCAGCCCCGCTGGGATGACAAAGCCTCCATTCAGGTGGACTCTGAGGATGGAACTGGAGCTCCAAGAGGCCCCAGAAAGGTTTTATTTAACAAAGAAAGAAAGAAAAAGGTTCTTTAGCAGGAAAAAAAACCCAACAAGCCTCCCTTGCACAGGGCTGGTGTTGGTTACTGGGGGCTGGGGTGGGTGGAATCAGCTCCACCATCTCCCAAATTGGGTTTTTCCACGTCAATAATGTGAGATTTGATCCCACTTTGTCAAACTTCTGCTCTTTCATCCAGTTCTCAGGGTGGTTTTTTTGAACTCTTTGGATCTGTCCTGCTCTGCCTTCCCTCCTCAAACAAAAAAAAAAAAAACCAAAAAACCAAGCCTGGAATTGGTGCCACTCCCTCCCTCCCCTGCCCAGGCTGGGGCTGTCACCAGCCTGGGGCTCCCTGTGCCATTCTGGGAGGGTTGGGGATGGAGAGAGGCACCACATCCCCTTCCTCAAAACAAAAAATCCCAACCAATTCCTCAGTAATTTGCCCCAGTGGAAGGGTTTAAGGAGTGTTTGTTTTGAGGAAAGGTGAAGGAGAGGTGAAAATGTGGGAGCTCCTTCTCCCTTTGCCTGGGCCCATCCACCTCTGGCATTTTTCCTGCAAACCCCACAGGAACAAGGATGAGGGCAGGGGTTCAACTCTGCTTTTTCAGGGCTCTTTGCTGTGTCTCGAGACCAGGGCAGGTTGTTTTTAATAGAAAAACCCACTTTTATTGCTTTTTAGCAACTAAAAGATTCTTTACAGCTCACAGGTGAAGACAGATACTTACTTTTTGTCTTTTTTTCCCTTGAATTCTATAAATTCTGCTTGGTCCAGTTTTCCAAGGATTCTTTCCACCATCCTCCCCTCCCACTTTCAAGGCCTCAGTCCCAACTGGAAAGCACTTCCTGGAAAATACTGGGCAGGTGCTTGCTGCTGGAAAAGTGAGCTTTGTGCCTTCAATTCGGTGGAAAAGATGGAACAGAGCAGGAAAAACTCATTCCTCGAAGGGAACCCATTGTCTTGTGGGATAACTGGAGCCTTTGCAAAGTGGGAGAAAACCCAGGAGGTGGAAATCGCCCCCAGCACAACCCGAGTCCATTCCTGCTCCGTGTCCATCTGTGATTTTCCAGCTGACAAAAGGGAGAGCTGAGAACCTCTGGAGAAGAAATTTCACCCTCACTGAGGGGAAAAAGGGAGCAGCAGGCCCCTGGAGGAGGGGGAGCTGCTGGGAGGGAGCGGGGCCGGCTCAGAGCAGGCGGCCCCGGCAGTCGATGGCCCCGCAGCAGCACAGCAGCTCCTTGCCCTCCACGCTGCCGACCTCGTAGTTGTAATCCCAGGTCAGCTCCGTGCCAGCTCGGATCCTCCTGGGAAGGAAAAAATAAATAAAAAATTAAAAAATCCACAGGGGATGAGTGAGGAGATGAGTCCGGAAAAGAGGAGAAAAGGATGGGATGAGGCTGAGGCAGGCGGGGAGAAAGGGATCAAGTTCCCCGATGAATCATTGCTGAGAGGATTCACTGCAGGAGCAGGGAGGCACACAGCAGGGCTTCAGCACGACTCAAAAGGTTTGGGATTAAAACCAGAAGGGAAATTGGCTGCTCCATGCCCTCACTCTGCCCTTTGGGAAGGTCTAAAAGTGCTGGAAATCACAGCAGGATCTCCAGCACAACAGAGAGGATTTCACCTTCCACCAAGGCTTTTCTCTGCACAGGAGTGATGAAAAATTGGGAACGGGGTTTCCAGGAGCAGGGAACACCCAGGCCTGGCCATGGAGCCAGGTCCCACCAGGCCCAGGAAGCCTCAGCCCCTCCCAGCAGCCCAGAACTCACTTGCTGGCAAAGAAGGCGACCCAGGGGAAGCGAAGGTCGTGGGTGTCCACGAAGACATTCTGCACAAAGAGGTTTGGGGTGCAGCTGTGCTGTAATGGCAACAGAGAGGAGCCTGAGCTGCTGCCCGGGCAGGGAGGCCGAGCTGCCAGCACTCAACAGAGCCTTTCTAAACAAGCAGCATTCCTGGTCTGCCCGCCATGTCCAGCGGAATCCTGCTGGAACAGGCTGCGCTGACTCACAGGATCCACAACCAAAGGTAACGGCTCTGGGACGACTGACAGGGCCATTCCTGCTCCCACCAGGCTGCAGCAGCTGCTTTTCCACTCAGGAAGGTGCATCACCCTCCCAAACCTCCCCTTTGCCAGCTTCCCCCTAGGCTTGGGGAGGAACAGCCCCACTGAGCAGAGGCTCAGTGCCCATAAATGCTCATTTTATCTTTGACACCTACCAGCAAAGGCAAACAGCAAATGGACTGTTTAAAACATAATCCTCACTGCAATTGTATTCATTTTTATGCTGCTTCATTCTTTATATTGTTAATTGTCATATTTGTCTTTTCTTTCTAACGAAAAAAGGGTGAATTGTGGTGTTACATTTTAGTTCAATGGTTTGCTCTGTCTCACCCCTCAGAAATATTTATTCCAAGCTGTGATCCTCCCCTGAAGTGTCAGGGATCTGCAATCCCATTGGCCCAAGTCTTATTTTGCACCCAGTTTGAATCTCCCTGTTCAGCTGTGGGGAGAGCACAGATTCCCTTGTAGCCCTTTGCTCTCTCTTGGCCCTTCTCTGCCTCTCCCTTCCCCAGTGTCCTAGAGTGATGCTGTGATGCTTGGATCCCCATTTGTGTGTTCTGTTTATGCTGGATTCCATGTTCTGAGCCTTCAAGACAGGCTCTGAAGAGTCAAAGTTTAGTTCTGGTTTAGTATATCAAAGTTTAGTTCCCATGGCTGGGACACAGAGGGCAGTGCATGGTGCTGCTTTTGCTTTTCACTTTGCTCTTTCTCCTGCTCATTAGTTAGTTTAGCTAAACAGTCCAAAATTTTCCCTGCACTGTTTTTCCTTTCCCATTTTGGAACCACTCAAACCTGCTCTGGACTGGGACCTGGGGAACACCGAGAGTCTGCACCTTGTGGCTGCAGCAGCTGCCCCAGCACCGGAGGGACTGAGAACAGAGACTTTCTGAATTTGTCACCTTTTTCAGAGCCATGAAAGAGTGCTGTCACCCAGTATTGTTCATTCTGTGTGCTGGGGGTGCTTTGCCTGTTAAATAAACAGCTTCTTTCCACTTCTCTCTGAGGAATCCTTGCTGAAATGCTTGAGGGGAGGGGCTGTGTGGGTTTGCTTTCTGGACAAGCCCCTTTGGAGGTTTTCTCCCACATTTGCCCTAAACCAGCACCACCCCACCCTTCTCCCTCAGAAACCACGCTGCTCCCAAGGGTGAGACCCCCAAGGAACCCTCATTGAATCCCCACCACCCTCAACATCCACAGGGTTAGGGGTTAGGGGTTAGGGTTAGGGGTTAGGGTTAGGGGTTAAGGTTAGGGTTAGGGGTTAAGGTTAGGGTTAGGGGTTAAGGTTAGGGTTAGGGGTTAAGGTTAGGGTTTAGGGTTAGGGTTAGGGGTTAGGGTTAAGGTTAGGGTTAGGGGTTAGGGTTACGGGTTAGGGTTCGGGGTTAGGGTTAAGGTTAGGGTTAGGGTTAGGGGTTAGGGGTTAGGGGTTAGGGTTAGGGGTTAGGGTTAGGGGTTAGGGTTAGGGGTTAGGGTTAGGGTCTCCTCTCCTGCGTGCTGCTACCATCCAACACCAGCTGAGGGGGACTCACATTGAGGGTTAGGGTTAGGGTTAGGTTAGGGTTAGGGTTAGGGTCAGGCTTAGGGGTTGGGTTAGGTTAGGGTCAGGGTTAGGGGTTAGGGGTTGGGGTTAGGGTTAGGGGTTAGGGGTTAGGGTTAGGGGTTAGGGTTAGGGTCAGGTTAGGGTTAGGGGTTAGGGTTAGGGGTTGGGGTTAGGGTTAGGGTTAGGGGTTAGGGGTTAGGGTTAGTGGTTAGGGTTAGGGGTTAGGGTTAGGGTCAGGTTAGGGTTAGGGTTAGGGTTAGGGTCTCCTCTCCTGCCTGCTGCTACCATCCAACAGCAGCTGAGGGGGACTCACGTTGAGGTAGCGGCCCAGGTTGCCCTCCAGCTTGGCGTCGATGATGTAGCAGTTCTCCTCCCCATCGTAGAACTGCCGCGTGCTGCGCCGCACCGGCCCCGCGCTCTCGCCCTTGTCGGCCGCCGCCAGCGGCGTGGATTTGATGGCGATGCCGTGCGTGGATTTCAGGGCGAAGCCTCGCGTGGATTTCACGGCCACCTGTCTCTTGACAGGACCTGCTGGGAGACGGGACCGTCCCTGAGCCTGCTCTGCTCAAAGCCCTCAGAGCCAAAGCAGCACTCCTGGGTGTCACAGACAGATTCTATGAAAAATCCTTTTGTTGGGATCTTTGTCTCCTGAGAAGCTGAGAGGCCTCAGCAATGAAATGCAAACAATGATTGTCTGCTGCTGTGGAACGCAGCAGGTGCAGCTTTGATTGGTCTTATTTTAAGAGTGGTCGTTTTTAATTAATGGCCAATCAATTTCCAGCTGTCTTGGACTCTCTGAGAGTCACAAGATTTTATTTTCATTCCATTCCTTTCCTTTTCAAGCCTTCTGATGAGATCCTTTCTTCTATTCTTTTAGTACAGTTTTAATAGAGCATTTTCTTATAATATAATGTAATGTAATGATGAAATAATATAATGATAATATATTTAATACAATTATATTTATATTTATATTTATATATATTTAATATACATTATATTATCATACATTATATTATCATATATAATACATATAATGTATAATATAATGTAATGATAATATAATATAATATAATATAATATAATATAATGTAATATAATATAATATAATAATGAAATCATATAATTTTATGTAGTATAATACAATATAATTATGATATAATATGATATAAACATGATATAATTATGATATAATATTATATAAAAATGATATGATAATGATATAATATGATAAAATATAATAAATCAGCCTCCTGAAACATGGAGTCAAGATTCTCATCTCTTCCCTTCTCAGGGCTGCCTACAAATTCAACACCTGGGATCAACCCAGCCCAGCCTGCAGACCCACCCTAAACCTCACTGTTGCTTTTCCCTACAATACCCAAAAATATCTGCTTTTGAGGAGCAGATTTTGCAGTTTTGTCTTGCCAAACACACGGGGAAGGTTCCAACCTTCCTGGAACAGGCAGGAGAACTCGCTGGAGCTGAGGGACACAGCAGCAGCAGCTGCTACAGCCTCACGAGCCCTTCCCGGTGCTTTTCCAACCAGACCTTCCCAGCCTCAGCCCTGGTCTCCCCCCTCACCTGACCCAGATGATGGATTTTTCTTGTCCTCACCTGACCCAGATGATGGATTTTTCTTGTCCTCCCCTTCCTCCTCCTCAGATCCCGAGGAAATGGTCTGGATGTCGTCGCTGTCGTTGGCTGCGCCCGGGGCCTGCCCTGCCCTGTGCTCCTCGTCGCTGTCGGTGCTGCTCGACACCATCAGCACGTTCTGGGGACAGGAGCAGCTCCTGGAGTGCACCCCAGGGACCCTGTGCTCCCCTCCAGCTCATCCCCTCTGTTCCCACCCTTTGGAAGGAGGTGATTCCCCCCCCTCTGGGCACCACGTCCCACAGGTGACTGTTGGGAACACCTGAGGGGTTCTGAGGGGCTGCTGAGTTCTGCTTGAGATCCTGGAGCATTAGGTGCTCAAAAGGAAGGGAGGAGTCCCCAAAAAGCAAGGATAGTTCACCAGGATGGCTTCCTGCAGATTGGTTCTGCCAAACAACAATGCCAGGCGTGCAAACCAAAGTGCCAAATCCAACCCAAACCCCACACTCCCTTCTTGATTGTTCAGATCCACTAAAGACCCCAAAAAACCCAAAGGAAATCGAGCGCCCTCCAGGAAATCACAGCTACAACCACAAACCCTGCGCTCAGCTGGGAACCAAAGGCAGAAAATGACCCCAAACTAAGGCTGAAGAAGGGGTTTGGGGGAGGCCCCTCCAGCCTGGGGGTCCCTCTCACCTCGGAGGGGGGCGGCGGGGGCAGCGATCGCCGGCGGCTCTGCAGCAGCACCGTGCCACTGAGGGGCCTGCGGATCCCCTCCAGCCTGGGGGGACAGGGGTTGTAGCCGTACCTCCTGCCCAGGCTGCTCAGCCTGCAGGGACAACACAAGGGCAGGTCACACCTGCATCTCCAGGGGAGTTGTGCCACGGGACGGGAACAAAGTGATTTAAGGAATCTTACCCAGGAATTTTGGTTGATTCTTCAGGTTCCTGCGGAGGAGAGGAGCACAGATGATTGGAATCTCTCCCTGCTCAAGCACTCTCCAGGCTTTCTATGGAATTGTTCCCCAAAATGCCAGCCCAGGAGGGAGATGCTGCCTGTCCCCACACTCAGTGTGGAGATGCCCCTCCCTGGGGGACTCCAAGTGCCCTGCCTGGAGCAGGGGGTGGCCAGGGACCACCTCCATGTCCCTGCTGTCCCCAGCCACGTCCCTAAGGTCCCCAGGCAAGAGGATGTTCAGCTCTGCTCACATCTGCAGCCTCTTGTGCCAAAAATCCCTCCCTGGGAGGGGAAAAGCCAGAGAAGCCAGGGGAGCACAGGGACATCCAAGAGCCCCACAGTCCCCCTGGATGTGCTCTGTGGTGAGGAAAGCCACAGGAGCAGGAGCACCTCTCTGCCTTTAACGCTCCCATTCCCTCATCTCTCCCTCACCTCCTTCTTGGGTGCCTTTGCCTCTCCATTCAGATCTCCTGGAAGCGTGGAAGCACAGCCCTTCTCCCTCTCTGCAGGCATCTCCATCTTCACAGCCTTGGCTTCTCCCCCTTCACCCCCCCTGAAGGACGAGGCGCCATCGCTGTCCTGCAGGCTCTCAGCCGCGCTGTTGGAGCTCAACCACGAGGCCACTTTGCTCTGGGACATCTCCTCAGACACGGGCAGCTTGCACAGGGGGGCTGTGGAGGTTTCCTCATGGCTGAGGGCCCGGGTGAGCCCCGAGTCCTTGGAGGCCGTCTCCGAGGCGCCGTGGTCGCGCTGGCCGCGCGTCTGCCGCCGCGTGGCGTAGCTGCGCAGCACCGAGCTGGTGCTGAAGCTCTCGTCCTTGCAGAAATTGTCATCGGAGCTGTCCTCGTTGGACTCCTCCAGCTCCTCCGTGCCCGTGTTCTCCTCGTCGTCGTCGTCGTCCTTGAGGTCCACGCCGCTGTTGTCCGAGGAGCACTTGGCGTCGCTCTCGTAGCCGTCCTTGAAGTTCTCCACGCTCTCGATGTGGTCCAGGTTGGCAAAGTACTCGTCACCCATCTCCAGCCCCTCTTTGTCAGCAAAGTCATCTGTCAGGATTTTCCCTGGGAGGGCAGAAAATGAAAGGTGAGTTTTCTCTTTTATGCTCTCCAAAGCTCACTGAGGAGAAAAAAGGGATAACGCAGCTTTATTCCAAAGGTGGGCTGGGAAATGACAACATAACCCCGTTTCTTGATGTAACAGAACCCTGAAGCTTGTGGTTAAACTAAAATCAAGATTTTCAGCTCAGAAATCTCTCCAGAGCAGCTCAAGCAGAGCCTTGGAAGGGCTGGAAGAGCACAGAGGCAGCAGCTGTGGCCGTGGGCGGCTCCATCCCAGAGTCAATGCAGCAACCCCGGCGCAACTTCTGCATCTCGTGGGCTGTGCCGGGCCCGGCCGGTTTGCTGAGCACAGGAAGCAGGGCTGGGGTTGGGTCACCTCGAGGACAGCCCGGGGGACATCTTGTGACACTGGCACTGCCACCACAAGGGTTCTTGCAGCATTGGGCAAGTTCATCAGCTCAGCTTTCAATCCCCAGAATGGGCAGGGCAGGAGCTTTACACCCCTTCTGCTGCGCTTTGGAATCACTGAGGTTGGAAGAGCTTCTGGGTGCCACTGCTCCCCCCAGCACTGAGCCATGTCCCCAAGTGCCACATCCACGTGCTTTTGAGCACTTTCAGGGACAATGACTCTACCACCTCCCTGGGCAGCCTGACCACCGTTCCCAGGAAGAAATCCTCCTGAATGTGCAACTTAAACCTGCCCAGGGCATTGGAGAAGGCCAAAAAGTCCCACTTGAGCCCCCCCAGCTTCCTCAGGAGTTCTCCAGACCCTTCTCCCTGTGCTCCAACCCCTTCCCCAGCTCCATTCCCATCTCTGGCCACCCCTCTTCCCACAGCAGAGTTTCCCACGTGCCAGGTGAGCTCCCACCTGCGTAGATGCAGACAAAGGAGCCCTTGGCGATGTCGTCGAGGCAGCGAATGCCCCAACCTTTGTTCTGGGTCTTGAAGAGCTGCAGCCGCACCTGGAGGCCGTGCTGGACCAGGCGGTTGGTGCACATGTTCACGTTGCACTTGCACCTCTTGTTGCACTCATAAACACTGGAAGAGAGGAGAAAGATGAAACTTTCAGGATGAAGAAACATCCCAAAGTCCGTGGCTGTTGGCAGTGCTGGGATTTATGCACAGAGATCCCAGAGGAGCAGGCTTGGAGCAACTCATGTTCTGGATGATCCTCAAGGCCCCTTCCAACCCAAACCATTCCACAGTTGGCAGAAGAACCAAGACCAGAGGCAGGTGGTGACATCTGCACTAGGATCTGATACCCAGGATCAGCTCCCTCTCAGTGGACCTGGGGCTGGTGCTCGTGAGGGCTCTGCTCACCCTGTTGGAAGACATTCCTCCAGCCGCTTGTGCTGGTAGCCTGAGTTGGGGTTGATTTGCCCTCCGGGGGTGCAGCCACTGGCCTGGATGGTCAGCTGGTGACAGGCACACCTGGATCTGCAGAGAGACACAGGAAAACCCATGAGATCAGTCTGGAGACAGGAACATAAATCACTCTAGGCAGAGATGGGCACCAAGGGTTTGACTTGGAATCAAACCAAGAGAAGCAGTTTGATTCCACTCCATTCCAAGAGAAGCTGTGGATTTCTCATCCCTAGAAGTGTCCAAGGCCAGGTTGGACGGGGCTTGGAGCAACCTGGGATAGCAGAAAGTGTCCCTGCCTATGTCAAGATAACTTTTAACGTCCCTCCCAACCCTGCAGCGGGCTGACCTGCGTGGCTTTAAACCCCAGCTGTCCCCTCACACAGCCCCAGTGCTGTCCCCTCACCCAGGAGCAGTCACCTACTTGTCCCTGCAGCCATCCTTGCAGTCACAGCCCACGAGGAACTCCCAGCTGGTGTTGATGTACACCCCTTTCCCAGGGATCCTCTCCTTGCTGTAAGCCACCTGCGGCGGCGGCGTGTTGTCGATCTCGTTGACGCACGACAGGGGCACGTCCTCCTTGCCCTTGGTGATATCGGCGATGTAGTAGTACGGCTTGTAGGGCTGGAACTTGCGATCCACCAGCACGTAGGGATCCAGGCAGAACATCTCCAGGAACAAGAAGTCGCAGTCCGTCTCGAAGAGGTAGCGCTCGATCTCGTGCATGGAGCGCAGGCAGAGCCCGCAGGGCGTCTTGTAGAGCACGTGGAAGCCCATCTTGCGGTTGACGCGGCGCCGCGCCGTCATGCGGCGGAAGTCGTAGAGCAGCGGGATGAGCAGCGGGTTGCGGCTGCGGTACTGATCGCCGCGCACCGGCCGCACCCGCGCCAGGCAGGCGTAGCTGCACACGTGGGGGAGGTAGAAGAGCTTCTCCAGAGGGGCTCGGTAGGACGGCTCGGTGGGAACGCGGTCCAGCATGCCGTGGAAGGGCTGGGACGGGGCGCTGCTGGGGACAGCGCTGCTGGGGACGCTGAGGGGAGACAGGCGGGCTCGGGTTAGGAAGGATCTTGAGGAGGGGCTTGGAACACAAACCCTATGAGCAGCGTTTGAAGGAGCTGGGGCTGTTTAGGCTGGAGAAGAGGAGGCTTAGAGGTGACCTTGTGTCAGAACCCAGGAAATTCCTCCCGAGACCCTGCCAAGGGGCTCAGAGCCCAGGACCCCTGTGCCTGTGATCTTTGTTGTCATCGTATTTCAAAAGTTCCACACCTTCTTGGTGATTTCCCATGGGCAGCTCCTCACAGCACTGACTCCTTCACAGTACAGCCAACAAACCCCATCTCTCCTCACAGCACAACCAAAAAACTCCAGCTCTCTTCTGAACCTGCTAACCCACCCTTTTGTAGCACTCTTCTTCTCACTGGACACAGCTGTAGCCTATTCAGGACAGGCCTGTTCCTTATCTTTGGTGACTGGTACAGCTGCAATCCTCAGGTGTGAGACCACCTTCTGCACTATCTTTATTTTCTTACATTCTATCCCTCCACAGATCTTGACCCAGGGAAAAAAACAATTACCGACATCTATACGAAGGATTACAAGTCAAAAAGAGTTTAAGTAGAATGAGAGTGAATTTATCACAGGGTGATTAAAAAAAAAAAATCTAAAGGAAATTCACTGCCCTCCAGGAAATCACAGCTACTTGGCATTGCTGGGGGGGAGTCCATGAACTCAGAGGCTTTTCCAGCCTCAGTGACTCCACCACTCCACGATTTGAGCTGCTGAATCCCCACCAGAAACCCACCAGCAGCACCTCCTCAGGCCCCACGTGTGTCCCAGCAGCCCAGAGGCACTCAGGGATGTGTCCCACCCAGAGCTCTGCTCACCGGTGCTGCGGGGCCGGGAGGGCCCTCCCGGCTGCCGGGGTGTCCCCGAGGACAGGCGAGGATGGGGACGAGTGGCCGGAGCCCACGGAGCCAGGGCGGAAGGAGGTGCTTTTCTTGGCCACCTGCTTCCTGCCCTGCGCCAGCTGGGTGTCGGAGCACCTGCAGGAGGGAAGGAGAAGCTGATTTGGAGCATGGAAAAAGCAAAATAACACTGGGAGTTCAAAGCAAACGCTGCCCCATGGAACTCAGAAACCCAGGAGAATCCCAGCTGTGGCTTTTTTTCCTAATGAGTGTGAAAATCAGCTCATTTCTGGCTATTTCTGCTACAGCAATGCCACAACCACTCCTGATTTCAGAATTCGGCTGCAGCTCCAAGTGACTTCTGATTCTGAAATGAGGCAAAGGTAACAACAAGGCCTTAATCCCAGGAAGCTGGACAAACCAGACCATGAAGAAACCCCTAGAAGCTCAACCAGGCCTGAGTAGGAGGAACAAATCCAGAGGCTCCTCTTGCAAGGACTAAGGAACGAGGTAAGATTGTGCAAGGGAATGTAATGACATCCCTGATGAAAGAGCTCGTTGGGGCTCTAAAAAAACCCAGGTTCTCAACCCATTTCAGGAGTTTTCAATCAACTGCGGGTTTCCAAGCCATTCCAGGAAGTTTTCAACCCATTTCCATCAATAAACCAGAAAATTACCACAAACCAGCTGCTGAAGAGGAAAAACTGCGAAGTTATTGGGGAGAAAGGGAGGAGACAAAGAGAGCAGGAAGGGACGAGGGTTTCTGCCAACAGCTGCCTGAAAGCAAAGTGTTCAAACACATCTCAAAAAGAGCAAGAGGAAAAATGGGCTTAAGCCAGTCAGAAGTGGTGACAACATGAGAAAAACTTGAAAGAAGGGGGAGAAACCCAGGCTTTCCTCAGAGGAAACAAAACACCAGAGTGAGGAGACTGTTCTCAGTTTTAATAATCTGAAATCCAAGTGTTTGAACCCCACAGAATCCCTGGGACCAGCGTGGACACAGCCAAGCCTGGCTGCCTCCTCCCCCTGGCCAGGGGCAGTTGAGATTTAAGGGCAGGGAAGCAGCTGCACAAAAACCATGTCCTAAAGCCAAGCCCAAGAGGGAAAAAATTCCTTGTAAAGCACTGCAAGGGCCGAATGGGAAAGGATTTGGTGATGACACAAGTGGCTGCAGGTCCAGCTTGGTTGTTTTCATGTTGTGACACTGCCCATGGTCCCGGGGTGTCCCAGTCTCAGCCCAGCTCTTCCCTGCAGGGATGGGGGCCCAGCTGTGCATTCCAGGGCCTCCTTCAGCATCCAGGATCTCTCTGGCATTATGGAAAAGGTGATTTTCTTCCACTCCCAAATCCTGGTCAGGCCAGCACAGAAAGGGAGCATTTCCAGGGGTAAATTGGGTTATATTGCACTGCTGATTGGAGAGGAGCCCCCAAGACCCCCGGTGGGGTTTGAGCTGCTGCTACACCTGGAAAGCCTGTGGGGAGTAAAGATTGACCTCCTGCACAGGCTGCTGACAGCTGGGACATGTCCTGCCTCCCTGGTGCCCCACCAGCAGGGCACAGGCAGAGCAGACACCGTGCTGGCAAACCCGGATGGGGAATCCACAGTGCTGGCAAAAATGAACTGGGAGAGCCTCTCCCTCCCCTAAAAAGTCCCCGAGCACATTCCCAGGTTCCCTGGTGTCCTCCAACACACTCCCTTCATCACCAAGCCGAGTTCCTCCTTCCTCCAGGCCTCCTTCAGCCTGCAGCTCCGGCAATGTCCCCCTTGGGCCCCTGGCAGCGGCCTGGCCGTGGATTGCTCGGTGCCCACCGGGACCGACCGCTGATCCCGAATCCCCAGCGAGGTCAGCGAGCAGGTCAGTCCAAGTGCAGGGACACAAGGCAGCCGGGGGCCAGCGCCTGGATCGTGACACGAGGGAGCAATTCAGATTTTTGGGGAGAGAAAAGAGCCAAGGGCTCATTTGGAAAGGCAAGTGCGAAGCTTTAGCCCTGAGGAGGAATATTTGGCTCGGGGAGTTGTTGGCTTCTCAGCTCCCGCCCCCAGTTATTCATCCAGCAGCTTTAGCTGAAAGTTTTTTCCCCAAAATCGTGGCTAAAGGCATGGAGGACAGCTGCAGCTGAGGATTCCTCTGCACAGAAAAGGTGGTGCCTGAGAGAGCTGAGTGCTGGAGAGAAGCAAAGAGGTGGAAGGTGCTGGAGGTGGAGCTGGTACTTACTCCATCTCTGCAGGCTGAGGAGACGTGGGACGTGCAGCTGGCTCTGGAGTCTTGTACTGGGGACCAGCTCCTGCTAAATCCTGGGTGTACTGCACCACAGGGCCCTTGCTCCTCACAGCACCTGGTGGGGAAGGTAAAAAACCATAGAGTCAAATCCTTAAATGTTATCCCACGTTGGCTGTATGGGCCCCAAAACACTGATTTGTTCCTGGAAGGAAGCAAACCAGAGGGATTTGGGATGAATGGGGGTCATCACTGAGCTCGGAGCACAGCAACTCCCCCAGAACTTCTGGTCACTTCACCCAAGTGCAGTTTGGTTTTGTGGAATTATTCCAGGAGAAAAATCCCACTGGAAAACTAAATCTCCTATGCCAGAGGACAAAAACCCTAGAAATCGAAATCTCCCGTGGGAAAAGACTCTGTGGAAATCTGAAATCTCCTGTCAGAAGAAAGAATAAAACCAAAACCTAGAAACCTGCAATCTCCAGGAACTCTGCTAAAAAAACTCACCAAACCCAAACCACCCTGCAGTTAAACCCCAGGATCTAAATGAAACCAAAAGATGCCACCAACCAACGTTGGGACGAGTCCTGGTTTGCCCACTCTGCTTCTTTTCCTGGGTGGAAGCTGTGGAAGTTTTCATGCTGAACATGGGCTCGAGGCGTGTGGAACCTCGGTAAATCCACTCACAGCGTCTGTCCTCTTGTGGGAAAGAGAAGGAAACACTTGAAGTTCCCATGGGAAGAGCTTCCTGGAGTGAGACATGGAGACAACACAAGGAGACAACAATGAGCGTTGATAAACAGCAGTCAGAACAGAGAATAAATTGTCAAATGCAATTATTTATGTTGAAATCTCTAATCAGATATTAGGGAAAATTTCTTCCTGGAAAGGAAGGGTGTTCATGGAGTTACCATCCCTGGAATTGTCCAAAACCCTCGTGGATGTGGCAACCAACCTCAATTATTTCCATGATTAGCAAGAAAACCAGAACTGATCAAATCCTCACAGCCTCAAATTGAATGCTAATGGGAGAAGGGAAATTCCTACCAGGAAAAGGATTTTCACTAGACTTCCATCCACTTCTTCCACTCTGGATTTCCACCAGGTGCCTTCCCACTCGGTTTTGATCAGCTGCCCATTCTTCAGCAGCACCATGGGTCGGTTGGGGTAGGCTGTGATGTATTCCTCAATGAAATCCCGACAGGAAACATCCTCAATGTCTTCCCAGGCTTTTTTCACTGTTTGGGACATGTGGGAGAAAGGGATTAAGACAAAACACAAAGAATATTTAACTCTTTATGGTTTTTTTTTTTGGTTTAGGCTATCCCAGGTGCGTTTTTCCTAAGGTCCATCAAGGGGTGATCCCAAGGGCTGGAATGTTCAGGTTGGGACATCCTGAAGCCACCCTGGCAATAACCCCAGGATTTCAGATGTCTTCAGGCTCAGCACCACAAGGGCCACACCCGTTTTTGGAGCTTCCCAAAAGCTCAGCAGGCCAGGAAGGGGCAGGGATCACTCACGGGGCCGGCACACCGGGTACAGCTCCCACTCCTTCACGTAGGACGCGTAACCATCGTCGAAGAAAATCAGGAACCTGGAAGACAAACAGGGGTTAGGAGCTGAAGAAAACACTTCTCACACCATGGAATGGAAGTGGAGAACCTCCCCTGCTCCTCCTGCAGACAGCCCAGTCTTGGGTGAGCACAGAATGAAGAGCTCCAAATGCTCCCCATGGCTGCTCAAAGAGCACAATTCCCAGCCAGGCCATTTCCCCCTGCTTCAAATCCCCTGTGTGCCCCAGGAAAGGGGAGATAAAGAATAGAAAATGTTTAATTGCTGCAGGGAAGATTGACAAGGCACCCACTTAGGGCCTCTGAGTAAGGACTCCAAGCCCTGGAGCTGTACAAAAGCTGCAGGATGAGGGACCAGCATCACAACCAGGAGAAAAGTTGCAATTTGAGTATCAAATTCAGCTCATTGTCAGTTATTAAACACAAATCAGATAAAATCCAACACAATCTACATCAGATCCAGGAGGATTAAATCCTTTATCAATCAGGAAAACCCCAAACCTTTATTCTAACAGATCAGAGCAGCCTTGCCCTTTTTTTATTCCCAAAAAAAGCTGCTCCAAACCTGCTCTGTCTCCTCCTGAAAAGCTTTGGCATCACTGCTGCCACTCTGCCCTCCCAGGGCTCCAATTTCCTGCCACTGTTTCATGCCTCAGGCAGCCCAGACTCAACATTTGGGTGATAATTTGAATAAATTAGCAGATCTAATTCCTGACTCAGGGCCATGAGCAAGAGTGGAAGCTCCACCCTGAGATAAGAAAGATGAAGAAAGTCAGAATCACATTCCTGGGGAGGGCTCAATTCAGCACCTGAAGGGTATTCAAATAAACCCTTTTAATTTTTGGCCTAAAACAACAACCAAAAACCCAGAGATGGAGGGAAAGAAGAATGGGAAAGAAGAATACCTGTCTTTATTCTTGACATTGGGGGTTTCAGCCACGATCCCAGCATAGAGCCACATCTGATTGCCATCCTTGTACCTGGCCACCACCCTCCTGCCCACGTGGTGCCTCTCAGCAGAGGGGTGGTAATCGTAGGCAATGTGGTTGCCCGAGAGCAAACTCTTTCCTTTGTTATCAAATTTCACTTTGTATTTCTTGCCAGCACCTGGAAGCACATTTGAAAGCAAACAGGAGATCAAACGAAGGGGAAAATAAACAAAAGCCACGTGACTGCACAGCAGAATTCCAGCGCTCTTCTGGGTCGCTCTGAGATCCTTTATTCAGAATTAACTCAGGATTCATTTCAAAGCCTTTCAGGATTCAATCTGGAGGGTGAAGCAGTGGAGGTGTGCTGCTCCCACAGTCCCTTCCAGGTGACATCAGGTGCTCTGACACCTTTCAGTGCAGGTTTCCCACCCAGCATGCCAGGAAAGCCCCATGCATGGCACATACCAACCGTCTGGATGGCAATCAACGTCCCCTTGTGCCACGTCTTGGTTCTTTTTTTCCCCAAAATCCTCATGCCCACTTTGAGGTCCCCATCAGTGTTGAGATCATTGCTAGGGGCTGCAGGGACAGGAACGGGCTGGGCAGTGCCAGGAGGTTCCTGAGGGGGTTGTGCATCTACCAAAGGACAACAGCAAAAAGTCAGTTCTAAATCACCCAAAGCACAGTTCTGGAAGAAGAATTCCTGTTTTTCTTCCTCTCAGGCAGCCCAAGTGCCTCCTTTTTTCTGAATGGAAACAGCTTGGAGAAAAGGCAGGAATTCAGAACTCATATACCCTAAATGAAAATAGCAGTTTGGGATCAATAAATGTGAATAGAGATTTCTAGGAGAGAAAGCAGATCATTGTTTTCCCATTTTGGGAAGCAAAGGCCCAGGGCACAGAGCCCCTGGAAGCTCCCACACCTTTCTGTGCTTCCTGCAAGTTGGTTTTCTTGTTTACAGCATCCATGAATTTTGCAACATCCCGGGCAGATTTCCTCATGGCAGCCATTGCTTCCCTCAGCTGGAGGAAAGAAAAAGGAAACACAGAAAAACTTTTGGTTTTTTTGCACCTAGCACAACGTTGTGCCTCAGCAAAACCCCACATGAGGAAACATCTCCAGTCAGGGCCTCCCCACTCACCAGACTCTGATCCCTGGAGATTCTGGGACAGCTGCTGCCTGTGAGTGGAGAGAAAACAGTGGTTTAAAACCTTTTTATTTGTGGAAAAAAATCCATCCTAATTAAATCCCAGAGAGCAGAGGGAACAGGGAAAAGTGCCCATCCCAAATCCCTGCCAAGAAATCCAGCTAGACAAGGCTTTTCCTCATGTGGGATCATTTCATGGGGACAGCAGTGAGGCAGGTGGGAAAAGGGTGAAATCCCAGTCTGGGACTCCAGGAATTCCAGGATTCCAGGGACACAAAGAGGATCTGGCAGATGTTCCCCAGGAGCCAAAAGCATCCCCTCATCCCCACCCTTCCCCTGGCCCTGCTGGGGACACTGAACTGCGTTTCCAGCTCGGGTCCACGCTCATGACATCATCATCATCCTCCTCGTCGGGGATCTCGATCACTTCGGTGGCCGCCGGAGCCTCGTCCTCCGAGCTGCTGTCCCGGTACTGCAGGCCCATCATGGAGTACAGCTCCTTGGCCAGCACCTCGCACTTGTCCATGGCCCTGCGGGAGGGAAAGCAGCTGTGCCTCCTCAGTTCCACAGGGAGCTACCCCTGACCGCTGAGGGAGGGCGAGAGATGCTCTGGAGTTTCCTTCATGTGCCTCGCAAGGGCCCTGAAGCCCCTCAACAGCAGCTCTGGCCTGGCTGAGGTGGGTGTTTCTGGATGTTATGCCAAGTGATTGTTGCTGTGCTTTCACAGAACACTGCCTCAAACAGGTTCTGATGAATGGTGGCTTGTCCTTGCACACTCACACCTGTCTCACAGACCAAGGGGTTTCGATACCGTGGCTCATGAATCACCTTTCAGCCAGATGCCACTTGCTTTGGACTAGGACTACATAAACTGGAACTTTCTGAGATGGCTTTGGTGAACCCCCATGGACTACAGCAAATCTAGACCATGAAGATTCCATCTCATTGGTAGCTACATTCCCCTTCCCCTCTTTTCCTTTCTATCCTTTATTTCCTTTTCTGATCCCTCTATCACATTTGCTGTTGGCCCTCAATAAAGGTGCATTTGTTGTGATTAAACTGACAACCCCCTGCTGTTTGCCTTTTGGGATCTGGAAATGAACCATTACATCCTCACTTGCCCTAGCAGATCGTGACAGGGAGCACGAGCTGAGGGAAGCATCCACAGGAAAGGTTTCAAGCCTTGGGGGGAAAGTTGCCCATGTGCCTCAATAAGCAGCCACACCATGGGTGTGCCCTGAAGGGAATGGAGCAGCCCCCCACATCCCCCTCCTCACAATTCCAGGCCCACACACCTCACAGCATCATCAATGAGCTGGTCAACGTGTGCCACCTCCTCCTCCTTGTGCCTCATGCACTGCTCCAGCTCCTCCAGCTGCTGCTTCCTCTGCCTCACCCACTCGGAATTCTCCACTTCTTTGTCGATGATTTCCCGCAGCTCCTCCATGGAGATTCCCAGCTCCTCCATCACCTCCTGCTGCAGCTCCTTGATGTCCTGGCAATCCATCCCTGCCACACCTGAGGAAGGGGTGATGAGGAAGGAGAGGTTGGAGAGGGAGATCACGGCAGCTCCCCCACCCTGTCCCACCTTCCCCTGCCCCAATATCCCCTCACAGCCTCCCCCGGTCCCCTCACAGCCCTGCCAGGTTACCTCACAGCCCTCTAGATCCCCTCACAGCCCTCTAGATCCCCTCACAGCCCCTCAGGTCCCCTCACAGCCCCTCAGGTCCCCTCACAGCCCTGCCAGGTCCCCTCACAGCCCTCTAGATCCCCTCACAGCCCCTCAGGTCCCCTCACAGCCCCTCAGGTCCCCTCACAGCCCTGCCAGGTCCTCTCACAGCCCTCTAGATCCCCTCACAGCCCCTCAGGTCCCCTCACAGCCCCTCAGGTCCCCTCACAGCCCTGCCAGGTCCCCTCACAGCCCTGCCAGGTCCCCTTACAGCCCTCTAGATCCCCTCACAGCCCCTCAGATCCCATCACAGCCCCCCCAGGTCCCCTCACAGCCCCCCCGGTTCCCTCAGTACCCCACACCGCGTCCCCCTCATCCTCCCCCAGCCCTGTCCGTCCATCCCAGCCGCTCACAGACCCTCACAAGCCCGCTCCGTTGCCCTCAGCCCCGGCCGCTCCTCCTCACTCACCGCCGCCGGTTCCGGGGAACCGGAGCAGAACCGGAGCAGAGCCCGGCGCGGCCGCCCGCGTGACGTCACTTCCTGCGCGCGCCGCCCGCGCGTGGCGCCCCCTGGCGGAGCCGGCGTGAGGAGAAATCCCCGAAATTCGGGAATAAATGAAATAAAATAAATGAAATAAAATAAATGAATTCCTCTGGAAATCGGGGGATAAATACCTCGGGGATCGGCAGTTCGGGGAATTGACCGAATGTCCACGGGAGCTGCCGTGAACGGCCGGCCCCGTTTAAGTTGTAAAGAGCGGGAAAGCCGCGGTTCGTTCCTGAGGCGGCCCCGGAACCGTTTGGGGCCGTTGAAGCCGTTACCGAACGCCCCCAGAACGATCCTTTAACCGCCACCTGGGAGGGGTTTGAAACACGGAGAGTGATGGGGGCAATGGGGAAATTGGGAGCAGTGGGGGGAATGGGGGAAATGGGGAGCAATGGGGGAAATGGGGAATCAGTGGGAAAATGGGAATCAATGGGAGAAATGGGGAAAACTTGGAATCAGTGAGGGAAATGGGGGAATGGGGAGCAATGGGGGAAATGGGGCACAATGGGGGAAATTGGGAGCAATGAGGGTAAACGGGAAGCAATAGGGTAAATAAGGAATTAATGGGGGAAATGGGGGTCCTGGAGGAAAGGGGGACCCACGGAGAATAAGGGGTGCTGAGGCTACCAGCAGCTCTGAGTTAATGGGAGCCCAGGTGGTTTTCCTGGGGTTCATTGGAGCACCCTGCAGGGTTTGGGGGGTCCCAGGGGAGGTGTTTTGGGGTCAGTTGATGGGTTCCTCCTCCCAGGTGGAGGTGGGAATGGCGCTGTAGGGATCCACCACGAGCCGGGCGCAGCGCACGGTCATGGCCAGGAGGAAGAGCCCCAGCAGCACCACAAAGGCCGTGGCCACAGCTTTGTCCACGTCCATGGCGGGCAGCACTGTGGGGGTCTCCATGCAGGGACCCTCAGTTGTGTCTGTCACAGCTCCAGGGACCCTCAGGTGGGTGTCCCTTGGCTCCAGGGACCTTCAGGTCTCTTTGTTGCAGCTCCAGGTGTCTCTTTCTGGCTCCAGGGACCCTCAGGTGTTTCTGTCACAGCTCCAGAGGCTCCTCAGGTGTCCCTTCCTGGCTCCAGGGACCCTCAGGTGTCCCCTCCTCTCTCCAGGGATCCTGCAGCACGTGTCCCCCAGCACTCAACACCCAATCACATCCCTAAGGGACCGGAACAGGGGCGGATTTATGGGACTGAGGGGTCAAAACCACCCAAAAAAGGGGGGAAAATGTGGCCTTGAGTCCCCTCTGCTCCTTCCTTACCTCCCTGTGGCTGGCTCTGGGTCTCAGTCCTGGCCCTGCTGGCTCCAGGCCTTCATGAATTCTGCAGGAATGTGCCGGCATCACTTTTCAGACACAAGCCAGAGGATCAAATTCCCACCCCACACCCCCTTCTCCCATCAGGAGAAGCCTCTGGGTCCTTTCATGAGTCTTCCTGGTGACTTGGGGTGGTTTGGGAAGCATTTAGGAGGATTTATCCCCAAAATCTAAAGGCTTTGCCAGTGAGAGGATTTCAAGGTAGTTTTTTGCTTATATTGGAATAGACTGGAAGAAACTCTTGGAAAACGCATTGAACTGAGCTGCCTATGTGGATCTTGCAAAACAGCTCCATGAAAACCCCAGAATACCCAAAATATGCCAAAAATCTCCTTCAAGTTTCTTTATTTTCCCCCTCTGCGAGAAAAAACGATCACTTTGGGACAACAGTGAAACTTTGACACCCCAAGAGCTGGGCTGTAGGGGTGTTGCAGAGATTTTTCAGCGAAGGACGAGTTGTGGGGTCCTGTTGGTGGCCCCAAATCCCAGTTCTGACAAAAAAAAAAAACCCGTTCCAATCCCAATCCCAGTTCCGACCCAAATCACATGTGCAGTCTGGATTCTCATCTTCATTCCCTGGGGTTTAGAACCCCAACCTCGCCCCAGTCTCAATCCTAAATTTAATTTTAATCTTAATCTTAATTCCAATCCCAATCCCAATGTTACGTGACGTCATCAACACCACATGCTATAGCCACGCCCCTTGTTAAAGCCCCGCCTCATTTTCGGTGGAGGGCGGGATCTCACCGCCTTCGCTCCGCCCCCAGCCGTGCCCTCCGCTTGTCGCCGCCCCCAGCCCTCCGCCTGGACCAATAGCAGCGCTGCGTCTCCCCGTGTCCCTCCCCCCTCCCCCCTGTTGAACCAATAGGAGGCCGGCGTGGCGCTGGCCCCGCCCCCGCGCTGGCGGGGCTGTGGGGCCGGCGGAGGTTTTCCTGCGCCGCCATCTTGGATCGGCGGAGCGGAGCGAGGAGGGGGCGGCCCGGGACCCCCGTCATGGCCGCCACCGCCGCCAGCGCGGGTGAGCCGGGCCGCGGCGGCACGAACGGTGCTGGGGAGCGGGCTGAGAGCCTCAGGGAGGGCATGCGGGGCTGAGGGGGAGCACAAGGGGTCTGAGTGGACCCAAAGGCGGCCTCCAAAGCTGAGGGCCACCCTCAAGAGCGGGGGATGTCATGAGGGGCTCTGAGGGTGGTGAAGGGGCCCTGGAGGGGCTGACAGGGGCGTGAGGAGGCCCCTGAAGGGCTGAGGGGGAAATGGCACCGTGGGATGGGGGCACCCTGCAGGGGTCAGGGCTGTGTTTGTCTGGATTTGGGGTGCTTGGGACTGGGGGTCCCTGGTGGTATGAGGGACCCTCGAGGTGGTTTTGGGGTCCCTGCACTGGGTTTCTATCATCACTCCTTTGGATTTATTTTCCTTGACGGCTTCTGCCCCTTTTTCAGTTGTGTTTCGCTGAGGTTTTTCTTAACCCCCAACACAAAGTGCTGGCCCGGTGTGAAGGTTTTGCACCAATGTTTCTTGGAGCTCTGTGAAGGAGGGGAGGGCCTGGAGCACGATGTTCCCTCAGCTTCGGCTCCTCGGGCTGCTCCCCAGAGTCCTCAACTCCCTGTGCGCAGGAAGCTGGGAGCTGCTGATCCCTGATTCTTGCCAGAAAAAGATCTGATTTTATCGATTTTCTGGCTAAACTGCTCTGAAGTGAGCTTGGATCCTGATGAGCCCAGCGTCTGTGAAGTCGTGATTGATTTACAGCGTGGTGGCTGAGATCAGAATCTGAGCTTTGTTTGTTTTTGAGGTTTTTTTTTAGTCTTAGCTTGTCCTTTGTGGCTTGAAACACGCTCAGGTTTATCCAGGAGTGTTCAATGACACTGCTGAAGGATTCTGGGCTTTTATTTTAACGTTTCGGGAAGGTTTTGTGGTTTTTTAATGGTGAACAAACACACTGGGGACTCATCCTGTGAGATACTCGTGGGTATCCAAGCATTTGTGGAAGTGGAGTCTTCAGGGTTCCGTGGTTTTTTGCGTAAGAAAGTTTTAAATTCTGAAAGAAATGAGAAAGAATTTTCAACATCTGTGTTTAATATTTATAATCATGGGCAGAGTCACCAACTTTTACACAGAGGGAGGGAAATACACAAGCAGTAAACATGGAGATTATTAGGAGATTAAATCCTGAAGAATTCTCACAAATAATGTGGGTCTTCTTTTCATGAAAGTGTTAAAAAATGGATTTCAGGGCTCCAGTGAATGCTGGATAATGCCCCAAAATACCCAGAACGTCATCATTTCAACCCCTTAGCAATGGAAGAAACATTCTTTTCTTAATTTCCATATTTCTTCTTGGAGAAAGTTCCCATGGGGATGAAAGTGCTGAGCTGGCATTTCATGGGAAACTCAAACAAAGTAAAAACCTTCTGCTTCAAAAAAAAAAAAATCCATTTAATGTACCCCAGCCACAGAAATTTAAATGTTTTGTAAATAAAAAAACCATAAAAGCAGAAATATCAAAGCCTTCTAGTTGTGAGTGAAATGTAGAGTACTTTGAAGGCTGATTTATCTGCTCCCTAACATTTTGGGAAGATCCCAAATGGGTGAATTTAAAGCAAATCTTGGGAGATTTGATACCCAAACCTGAGCCTGGCAATTAACCCCCTGCTGAAGCTTCTGCAGCAAAAAGCACCAGTTTTGTACAATAAAAATGCACATAAAATCTGCAGCAACCCCTCTCATAAATCCCAGCTGGGAATATTTGCAGGGATTTTATTTTGGAGCCTTTTTTTTTTTTTGCCCTGTTGGGATGCCAGTGCTTGCAGCAGAGCCTTTCCCAGGAGAGCTGGGCTGGGAGCCTGGAGCAGTGATGGGGGCTGGGATTTCCATTTGCTCCTTTCTGGCCTTAATTAGATCCAGCCCATGGTGTGGGGGAGCAGGGATTGCTTCTGGCAAGGGCTGGGACACAAACCCAGCCAGGATTTTGGGAAAACACCTGGGATTTCTTGACTGGACACCTCCAGGAATGGTGACTGCAGAGCAGCCTTTGCTGGGAAGGAATTTTCCCTCACACCCATCCCAAAACTGCCCTGCTGTAACTTGGGGCTGTTTCCTCTCAGGGAGCAGATCCTGGCTCCATCCTCCTTCCAGGGAGGGAAAACTCCTCCAGGAATTCACCTCAGGGGTTGGAATGGGGAGAAGACAGAAATTTGGGAAGGAATCCTTGTGTGTTTCCTGGAAATCCCAAAGGGTGAAAACCCCAGAGCTCTTCCCTTCTCGTTATTTGTGAGAATTCTTCAGAATTTATTCTTCTAACAATCTCCAGCTGTGTTTCCCTCCTCCTGCTCTCCCTGCCCTGGTTTTTGGGGGGCTGTGCCCACTCAAAGCAGGTCCTGGTGCCCATCTGGGTCTGTCCTGAGGCAGGAGAGGGAAATGTCCCTCATGGGCTGCGTGCTGGGCTCCAGGAATTCACCTCAGGGGTTGAAATGGGAAAAGACACAAACAGGGAATTTGTGTTCCTGTGTGTTTTCCTGGAAATCCCAAAGGGTGAAAACCCCAGAGGCTCTTCCCTTCTCTTCCCTTATTTGTCAGAATTCTTCAGAATTTTTTCTTCTACCAATCTCCATCTTTACTGCTGGTGTGTTTCCCTCC